ATAACCATTTTTTTTTAAATGTCTAATGGTAAATCATACTATATATTTACTATTTTAGGTCCGTTAGGATTACCTAAATGATTTACATTTGCTAAATGCCAAAATAATGAGAGAATTTTTTTTTTGAGAATTGTTTTTACTAATTTCTAGACAGTCAAAAGTGTACACATTTCCTTGGTATTTTTTTTTTAGCTTTGCTTTTAAACTGTATAACTTTAGTCAAATGCTGTGGCTATCCTTCCACACTTTGAAGGTATTTTGGCCCATTCCTCCTGACAGAATTGGTGTAACTGAGTCAGATTTGTTGGCTGTCTTGCTCGCACAAGCTTTTTCAACTCTGCCCACAAATTTTCTATAGGATTGAGATCAGGGCTTTGTGATGGCCACTCCAAAACATTCACTCTGTTGTCCTTAAAGCACATTTTAACTAATTTGGCAGTATGCTTAGGGTCATGGTCTGTTTGGTAGACCCATTTGTGGCCAAGTTTTACTTTCCTGGCTGATGTCTTGAGATGTTGCTTCAGTATTTCTACATAATGTTCTTTCTTCATGATGCCATCTATGCTGTGAAGTGGACCAGTCCCTCCCGCAGCAAAACAGACCCACAACATGAGGCTGCCACCCCCATACTTCACAGTTGGGATGGTGTTCCTAGGCTTGTAAGCTTTCCCCTTTGTCCTCCAAATGTAACACTGATCATTATGGCCAAACAGTTCAATCTTAGTTCCATCAGACCACAGGACATGTCTCCAAAAATGTGTCTTTTTCCCAGTGTAATTTAGCAGATTGTAATCTGGCTTTATTGTTGATTCTGACTTTTTGATTTTCCCATGTTGTCACACAAGGAAGCAGTGTGTTTGAGGTTTTCCTTAAATACTATTCTACAGTTGTACCTCCAGTTAACTTAAATGTTGTCCATTAGCCAATCAGAAACTTCCAAAACCTTGACACCATCATCTGAGCCTTTTCAGCAGCATAATAATCTTATTGAATGTAAACTTGACTTTCAAGAAAAGTTATAACAATTTCACACAAAAAATCTCTCTCTCATTATTCTGCTTTTAAGCAAAACATGTGATCATCCTAACTTACCTAAAAGAGAAATAGTTTAGTCACGTTAACATCTGACCTTTTTTTAAATGGTTATGTGCCTTTATATACAGTGTATGTAAACTTCTGGATTCAACTGTATATATTTCCACGCATTCAAAAGTAAATAAATGATGACTCAATGAAGGGATAAAAAAATCAATCTTGGATTTATTTTCTGCTAAATAAATAATCACATGGTGTGAGATATCATGTGTGTTCATCTGAGGCTGGGCAAAATTCTTCGAAATGCTTACATCTTTGTACATGTGTATATATGCATATATCTTGGAGGCATGTTGAACACAAGGCTCATGATTTGGTCTTTGATCCTCAGGTCAGGCGATGGGCGGCACTTTGAGTGCGGTGTCGTCAATAGTAGATCTGGCTGTGTCAGGTGACGTGACCAGCAGTGCGCTGGTGTTTTTCCTCAGCGCTGTGATCTTCACTGTTGTGTGTATCATCATGTACCTGATGCTGCCCAAACTGGAATACTCAAGGTGAGCAAATCTCTTTGACTGTAATTTTTTTAAACGCGGGGTTCCACACAGGCGAGGCAGTGGTGCAGTAGGTAGTGCTGTTGCCTCACAGCAAGAAGGTCACTGGTTCGAACCTCGGCTCAGTTGGCGTTTCTGTGTGAAGTTTGCATGTTCTCCCTAACTTCGCTTGGGTTTCCTCCGGGTGCTCTGGTTTCCCCCACAGTCCAAAGACATGCAGTACAGGTGAATTGGGTAGGCTAAATTGTCTGTAGTGTATGAGTGTGTGAGTGAATGTGTGTGTGGATGTTTCCCAGAGATGGGTTGCGGCTGGAAGGGCATCGGCTGCGTAAAAACTTGCTGGATAAGTTGGCGGTTCATTCCGCTGTGGCGACCCCGGATTAATAAAGGGACTAAGCCGACAAGAAAATGAATGAATGAATGGGTTCCACACAATTCATTCATGTCGTCCTAACACAGATCGATTAAGTTAACCTAACAAATTTAAGTGTATTGAACATACTAAACGTTGAACACAAGTCCCCCCTCCGCCCCAAAAAAATATCCACAGTTGTGTTGTTTAAGCACATTTTAAATAAGTAGTTTGACCAAGCAGTTTAAAAAAAAAGACCAAACTTTTTTTGAGTGTACAAGCTGTCCTAACAGTTTCTGTGCGGAGTTTGCATGTTCTCCCCATGTTTCCGGGTACTCCGATTTCCCCCACAAGTCCAAACACATGCGGTACAGGTGAATAGGGTAGGCTGACTTGTCCATAGTGTATGTGTGTGAATGCAAGTGTATGTGTGTTTCCCAGTGATGGGTTTCAGCTGGAAGTTCATCCGCTGCGTAAAACATATGCTGGATAAATTGGTGGTTAATTCCGCTGTGGCGACCTCAGAATAATAAAGGGACTACGGCGAAAAGAAAATGAATGAATGAATGAATATTGTTTGTAAGTTAAATTTGAAATGCATCCATAAGCTGACACTGTCATAGAAATATCACCTATGAGTCTCACGGATATATTTGTGCATAATTATTTGTATCACACAGGTATGAAAGTAATGTAAAGAAGATAATTTATATGACACAGTAAAAAATAGAAAGAGAAAGAATAAATAAAAAAAATATCGGTAACACTTTACAATAAGGTTCATTAGTTAATGCATTTACTAACATGAACTAATCATGAACAACACATGTACAGCATTTATTAATCATAAATGAACATTTAATAATGCATTATTAACATTTAAGTCCATGCTTGCTAACATTAGTTAATGCACCATGAGTTAACATGAACTAACAATGAACTACTGTATTTTCATTAACTAACGTTTATTAACATGAATAAATACTGTAGTAAATGTATTGTTCATTGTTTGTTCATGTTAATAAATGCATTAATTAACATTAACTAATGAACCTTATTGTAAAGTGTGACCAAAAATATAATATAAATAATTTGCTATGGAAAGGTAACTGTTGTCTGATTGTGAGAATTTATACAGGACAGTCTAATTATAGTTGGTACTTTGTTGCGATCTAGATATGATATAATATATATTACTTATTATAACCCCCAGCCTTGGAAACCATCATGAACATTTCACTACACTCAACATCTGAGTCCGCAGATACAAAAGGAGCATAGATTTCTTTCATTTTGTCTCGTGAGTATCTCCCTTAAACCACATGATACTCGCACTGTTTTTTTTTTTTTTTTTGTCGAGACGCTGTTGAAGGGACAGAAAGAGGAACTGTGGGTCTGTGAGTTTCACTCGAGGTCTCGGGTCAAACCGCAGTTTCGTGACACAATTGTGATGATGGGTGTGCTGCTGATGTGCCTTTGTGTACTATTATTATTATACACAAGGCCTATAGAGATTTCAAAATTCCACATCTGCCAAACTCAGCGGCCCGTCTGCTGATTATCAGGTCAGGCACAAAAACAGAGAAATGTTTATATTTCAGAACATCTTTGAGACTTTGGGCCCTATCATACACCTGGCGCAATGTGGCGCAAGGCGCGCCACAATAGTCTTTTGGTAGTTTCAGCTTGGCGCAAGAGTCGTTTTAAGGCGTTGCACTACGCTGTTTATATAGCAAATGCATTTTCGCTCATTAGGCGTTCTGGTCTAAAAAGGAAGGCGTTCTGAGGCGGACCGCTGGCGCGTTGCTATTTTGAGAAACTATAATAGATTTTTCATTAGACCAAAACTAACCCGGACTAAACTCCGGCGCAGAGTTGCGCCTCGCTTACACACTGCTTAATACACACAAGAGAGCAATAGGCAAATATCTTTACATATGAAAAAATGTAAATATTAAGGATATATATATATATAGGATATAATAAGAATAGATACAGGATATAAATATAAAGGATTAAAATATTACAAAACATATTATTTTCTAGCCTACATAAATATGAAAAATCACTGCTTTTATGTCTTCTTCATCTCGGGAGGCTTTTTCAGTTCATTCATAACAATTAGCTTTTGTATAATGTTATTATTATTATCAGTATTATTTATTATATTCATATTTATATTTGTTTTATTAAAAACAAGCTTAGATTTGCCCACCTGTCAGGTTTTAGACCATATGGGACACAGCATGTGTTTCAGGATATAACTCAGGTTTTTGAAGACATTTTGTTATTATTATTCATTTGTTTGCTTGAAATTAGAACTGAATTTAGAAATAGTTTTAAAACGAATATTTGCCCTTTACAAACAAAAGTATTTATTTATAGACTAATTGATGTCTGTGCGTAAAGGTTTCCCTATCCAAGAGCGAATGTGAAAGTAGATGCATCATCTCTCATTCTCACGCAGTAGATGCTCTGTTTAACAGTTTTCTGTTAACTGTTTGCTTGTGAAATGCTCAGTTTTTCCCCTTAGACTTACTTTGCGTCCTGTAAATAGCGAATGCGCTCTTGGTGCGACGCAGCTGACTCTTAAAGGGAATGGGAGATGAGACTCTAATTGGTTTATTCTCAAAACACACCTATAACTCATTAAGAAAATAAACTCAACCCTTTTAACCCATGCGCCACGGCGCAAAGCAGATTTCCCGTCCTTAAATTAGCAAAAACGCGTCCTGACACGCCCTGAAAGCGTTTGCGCCCTGCGTTTTGCGCTCTGCGCATGGACCGTCAAAATAGAGCCCTTAGTCATAAAAACATTTAGGGTTAAGGTTAGGGCTAGGCTTGGGTTTATATATATTTCAGTTTTGTATCATTCATATCTAATGCCTTAATGGTTTAAATGATTGTTTTAATCCCGACTCAACAGAAATGGTGATGTATAGTGACTACACTGTAAAATACACTGGGTTCCACAGAGTCAATTTGTGTTGGGACAACATGAAGGAAGTTCACTGTTTTGTTTTCACAAATTTAAGTGGATTGAACATAAAACAATTATGCAGTTTCAGCTCATTTTTAAGAACCAACAGCAGAAGTGATTTTTTGGGTGGATTGCAGATTCGCACATTGTGATATCGATGCTGAAATGATATATTGTGCGGCCCTGATGCTAACTGAAACTTAACTGATCAGGATTTTCTCTCTTTCAGATACTACATGGAATTGGCTGCTTTACCCAGTACTGAATCCAACGGCAGCTCAGACGCATCGGCTAATTCTGTGCCACCTCTCAAACCCATCCTGAAGAAGACCTGGGTGCTGGGCTTCTGCGTCTTCTACGTCTTCTTCATCTCCATCATGATTTTCCCCGCCTTGTCTTCCGGAATCCAATCCATGAACCAAGACTCCGGGAACCCTTGGTCCACCACATACTTTGTGCCTCTGACTAGTTTTTTACTGTACAACGTTGCAGACTTCAGTGGCCGGCAGATGACCGCGTGGCTGCAAATCCCGGGACCCACCAGTGGCTTGCTGCCGTTGCTGGTCATCTCCAGAACGATTTTGGTTCCTCTGTTCGTCTTCTGCAACTATCAGCCACGGTACCACCTGCACAACGTCTTCTTTGCACATGACCTCTTCCCTGTGGTCTTCATCTGCGTGTTGGGGGTTTCTAACGGCTATCTGGGCACACTGCCTATGATCTATGGGCCCAAAGTTGTGCCGCGGGAACTTGCTGAGCCTGCGGGTGTCATTATGTCCTTCTTCCTTACGCTTGGCTTGGCTGTGGGTTCAGCTTTCTCTGTGGGACTCGTTCACAGTATATGAGGGCCAATCAATGACATAGGACAGAGCGTTTACACTACTGCACTCGAGGTTTTTGCCAAATCCACCATTTTCATAATTTTTTAGTTTTATATGCATTTTAATGGTCCAAATGGCTTGGATCTGGATTTTAATCTTGATTTTAAAGGGAAAATTCAGTCAAAAATGAACATTTCATCTTCATTTACTTTCACTCAAGTGGTTTTAAACTTTAATATGTTTCTTTTTTTTTCTGTCGAACACAAAGGAAGATATTTTAAAGAATGCTGGAAAATGTAATTGTCATTTATACTAGTAAAAACAAAACACTATGAAAGTCGATGGCTGTTTCCCCCCCAACATTCTTCAAAATATCTCCCTTTGTGTTCAATAGATCAAAGAACCTCGAGTGGTTTAAAACTTTAATGCATTTCTTTTTTTTTCTGTAGAACACAAAAGAAGATGTTTTAAAGAATGCTGAAAATGTGGCATTGTCATACTAGTAAAAACAAAATGCAATAGAAGTCAATGGCTGTCACAGCATTCTTCAAAATATGTTCCTTTGTGTTCAGTAGAAGAAAGGAAGTGCCGTGGTTCTAAACTTTAAAATGTTTCTGTTTTCTGTTGAACACAAAGAAAGATGTTTTGAAGAATGCTGGAAAATTGGCATTGTCGTCCATAGAAGTACAAAAAGTACTATTGAAAGTCAATGGCTGTTTTTTCTCCTCAAGTATATTCCTTTGTGTTTGATAGAAGAAAGGAACACCAGTGGTTCTAAACTTTAATATGTTTCTTTTATTGTTGAACACAAGGGAAGATGTTTTGAAGAATGCTGGAAAATTAACAATGTCATTCATAGAAACAAAAAATACTATGGAAGTCATTGGCTGTCAAACTCAACTTGCCTAAGTGGTTCTAAACTTTATTATGTATTATCTCTTTTTGTGTTGAACACAAAGGAAGATGTTTTGAAGAATGCTGGAAAATGTAATTGTCATCTATACTAGTAAAAACAATATACTATGAAAGTCAATGGCTGTTTCCCCCCCAACATTCTTCAAAATATCCCCCTTTGTGCTCAATAGATGAAAGAACCTCAAATGGTTTAAAACTTTAATGTATTCCTTTTTTTTCTGTAGAACACAAAGGAATATGTTTTGAAGAATGCTGGAAAATTGGCATTGTCATCCATAGTAGTAAAAACAAAATACTATAGGAGTCAAAAGGTGTTTTCCTATCCAACATTCTTCAAAGTATCTTCCTTTGTGTTCAATAGAAGAAAGAAACTCAACTTGCACTCACTTGCACTCTTTTTTTCTGTCAAACACAAAGGAAGATATTTTGAAGAATGCTGGAAAATTGTTATTTTCATTCATAGAAGTAAGAAAAAAAAATACAATGGAAGTCAATTGCTGTTTTTTTCTTTCCAACATTCTTCAAAGTATCTTCCTTTGTGTTCAGTAGAGGAAAGAACAGATTTGGAACTGAAGTGGAGAGAGTAAAGGATGACAGAAATTTCTGAGTGAACTATCCCTTTAATGTTTTAAAATAAATTACTTAAAATAAACACCTTTTTTAAGGATTTTATGGTCATGCTTTAATAGAAAATAGAAGGCAATCTTTTAATGGCCATGTTTGGGATCAGCTTTGGTCTGTAATAAAAACACTTGTATACACATTGTATATTTTATTGCCATAATTCACAGACATAAACTGGAAGGGCTTAAGGCTTTTAGCCGTGTTTACAGTGTGCTATTTATCCACCTAGATCTTCACATAAAAGTGGGCGCAGCTGCTTTTAAATTGAATTTGAATGGCGTCCAGTGTCATCCACTTGCAATTATTTTAAGCTGTACAAAACAGCTTGCAATGGCTGAAGAAAAAATCCTCAATGTTGGAAAAAATGAGAGAGATTTAAAGTGAAAGTACACATTTTAAGTTCAATGCTATGAAATATAGCATATCTAACAAATAGTGTTTCACTTTATTTTATAGTGTACTTATCTAATACTGTGCTTAACTAATTACTAGGAGAAATAAAGTACAGATAAGGTTCAGGCGTGGGCTCTGGGTTAGCACCTGTCTATTGCTTTGTTTTTGTAATTAAAGGGGTCGTTCACCCAAAAATGGCAATTCTGTCATTTACTCTCCCTCAACTTGTTCCAAACCTATTTGACTTCTGTTGAAACACAAAGGCAGATATTTTGAAGAAAGAAAAAGAAGGAAAGCTGGAAACCTGTAACCATCGACTTCCATAGTATTTGTATGGGAGTCAATAGTTACAGGTTTCTGTCTTTCTTTAAAATATCTTATATTGTGTTAAACAGAAGAAAGAAACTCCTAAAGGTTTATAACCACTTAAGGGTGAATAAATAGTCAGTCAATTTTCATTTTTGGGTGAATTCTGGACCATACCATCCAAATGTCGCTGCAGAAATCGAGACTCATCAGATCAAACAATGTTTTTCCAATCTACTATTGTCCAATTTTGAATTGTAGCCTCAGTTTCCTGTTCTTAGCTGACAGGAGCGGCACCGGTGTGTTCTTCTGCTGCTGTAGCCCATCTGCCTCAAGGTTGGACGCGTTGTGCATTCAGAGATGCTCTTCTGCAGACCTCGGTTGTAACGAGTGCTTATTAGAGTTACTGTTGCCTTTCCATCAGCTGGAACCAGTCTGGCCATTCTCCTCTGACCTCCAGCATCAACAAGGCATTTGCGCCCACAGAACTGCCGCTCACTGCATATTTTCTCTTTTTCAGACCATTTTATGTAAACCCTAGAGATGATTGTGCCTGAAAATCCCAGTAGATCAGCAGTTTCTGAAATACTCAGACCAGCCCGTCTGGCAGCAACAACCATGCCACATTCAAAGTCACTTAAATCCCCTTTCTTCCCCATTCTGATGCTCGGATTGAACTGCAGCAGATCGTCTTGATCATGTCCGCATGCCTGAATGCATTAAGTTGCTGCCATGTGATTGGCTGATTAGAAATTTGCATTAGCAAGCAGATGGACAGGTGTACCTAATAAAGTGGCTGGTGGGTGTATATGGATGAGTTATTGTTTAGGTTTCTGGGTATATATTTTGAATATTAATGATTTGGTGTTTAGATAAACTCCCATAAGCCTGCCTTTATTTCATAACCCAGTGGCACCACACTTCTTACCTTTAAAAACCCTGAAAATAACTAATTAAATCATTTTGAGTTTTCTAATTTAGTAGTTTGTTTCATCAGTGTCACTGCAGTTTCACTGCCAAGCATGACAAAAAGTTGTATATTTAGTTTTGCCACCATCATTTAAATTGCAGTAAATAATTAAATATTTCTCATTCATTTATTCATTCATTAATTTTCTTGTCGGCTTAGTCCCTTTATTAATCCGGGGTCGCCACAGCGGAATGAACCGCCAACTTATCCAGCAAGTTTTTACGCAGCGGATGCCCTTCTGGCCGCAACCCATCTCTGGGAAACATCCACACACACACTCATGCACTACGGACAATTTAGCCTACCCAATTCTCCTGTACCGCATGTCTTTGGACTGTGGGGGAAACCTGAGCACCCGGAGGAAACCCATGCGAAAGCTGGGAGAACATGCAAACTCCACACAGAAACGCCAACTGAGCCAAGGCTCGAACCAGCGACCCAGCAACCTTCTTGCTGTGATGCAACAGCACTACCTACTGCGCCACTGCCTCGCCCTTAAATATTTCTTTGTTCAATAAATCAACACATAAAATCATTAATAAATACCTCCGGCCTAATTTTACAAGTGGCTATTTTAGTAAATCATAATAATTTTTTGTTCATCAATTTGAGTTCATCCATTTCTAAAAACATATGAACTGCAGGCCCGTAATCAGCCTGGTCGAAGGGGTGGTTCTTTTTTCTTAAAATATGGACCTTTTAATAGTCACACACCTCATTTTATATTTAATTATGAGATTTAAATAGATTATAAGCACTATTGTTATCTGCATTAGCTTGTCGGATGGTCATCATAACCACACTTTTTTGATGTACCAAAAAACTTCCTAAAGCTTTATAATAAAGAAATAAATATTTTTTAAATACAAATTTATTACATCAAGTATCATTAAAAAAATAACCGATTTAAAATTAAAAACAAGCTTATTGTCAATTATTAGGCAAATTATTAATAACAAGCTGGCCAGCATATTAAACTTTATTCAGTCAGAATTTCGCCAATAAAATTTATTAATTAATTACATTTGAAAATTCATGGAAAACAACAATAGCCAATAGTATTCAAATTAATTTTAATATGACCTGCTTTTGGTGCTTCACACCTGTTTATTGGTTATTTTTTTTCATGAATAAGGTCCAAGATTTAGAAATAAAAGTTACTTGTAAACTGTTTTCTCCATTTTAAAAACAAATATATTAGTAAAAGACGACCTCACTTACATCAGATTGTGTGTTTTCTTGCACAGCGGGATGTTGGACTCATGAAAAATACTTGTTTGCATTGGTCAAAACTGACTAGCTGCAGTCATGATAGGCCATACAGAATTCCGCTTGGTCTTAAAGCCTTTTCGATGGGTTGTTTTCACTTATTGCAATGATATAGCAGTTAAAATAGGACAAATAAGCTCATATATGGGACAAATTCTGGAACTTTGTCAGTGAGGGGTGGTTGTTTTGAACCACTCGAATCCTTCCTGGCTACAGGCCTACACTGGATACCTTTTGTCACTGAAAACCATATCCTCTGGTATGACATTTGAAGTACCCCATTTAAGATCATGTGACTGAAGCCCCCTGTGCAGGCCCCTGAAGTCCCCTCATGACCTGCATCTGTTAATTTTTTGTTTCAGATTTTTCACATATATAACTTGTTTGGAACCACTATAACATTATTAAGCTGTGCTGTCCTTTGGTGTCCACTTTTTATTGAAGATGTCCAACAAGTCATGGAAATTATATTAAAATACTATTAATAATTTTATAAAATAACTTTAAGCTGTATAGAAGTGTCTCGAAAAATATCTAGTCAAATATTATTTACTGTCATCATGTCAAAGATAAAATAAATCACTTATTAGAGATGAGTTATTAAAACTATTATCATTAAAAATGTGTTGAAAAAAAATAAAAAGGGGGGGCTAATAATTCTGACTTCAACTGTAAGTATCCAACCCTGACGATGAATCGCTCTCCCTCTATATTTCTATATTATTAAGAGTTGTTTTTCTTCATTTATGCTGTCACACTATAGGACAGGTCATATTTAAGGTGCGTGTTCTTGATTTTTGTGCTTACATTAAAGGGTCACGAAACACCAAAACACATTTTTTGAGCTATTGACAGTCGTATATGTGTCCCACACTGCTAAAAACACTATTAGGACACCTATATTTCACTAAAAAGTGTAAATTGGTTGTTTTTGCGTTATTTCAAGCAAATTCGTACTTCCTGTTTGAAACGAATTTTTGAAGCTGCGTCACGGTCATGACATAATAGCGTTGTATTCCAGCGTGCAGACTGGACGTCTGTGCCAGAGTGTGCCTTATTACGTCTTACAGTGTGATGCATTAATGCATGAGTAAGCCTTGGTTCAAACCAATCAGCGCGCTCTATTGTGCAACTTCATTAATATTCATTACTGTCACCGTCTTTACACCACAGAGACGCCACGTTGTGTTGGCAAAACAAGCGTGAAGTGTTGCTTTTAAATTTTGCTGCAGTTAAGTTTCGTTTTCATTTTCTCTCTGTGAGAGCTCAGACTCACGTGTGGATTAACAGTGTACGCGACGCGCGACAACAATAACTTACGTGTCTAAGGAGGATTATTGTTTACCTGAGAGCTGTTCTCATCTGCAAACGCTGAGATCCGGATTCCGGATGTAGTCTTCTCTTCAGACGCGGCTCTAGTTGCTGGTGATTGTTCTGTCTCTACAGATTTGGTAAGTGAGCGACCAGTGCTCTTTGTTTATTCAGTTTGTTCGTATCGAATTAAGTTAACTATTGCACTGAGGGCAAACATGTTAGCACCGCATTTTGTGACCGGAATAACACACGCGGCTTTCTGACGTTACCTGCCGTGTGCGTCTAAGTTTCCGGGAAATGCTGAGGTTTTTTTTTCTCTCATTCACCGTGCGGTATAAAACATTGCATGAAAAATACACGCTTAGAGCAGATCCTCGAATCAAATATCGTGTTTGTCGCGAGGGACATGAATGAATTCCCTGAATGAAAGAGCCAAACTGCAGTTAAAGTCCACCAGTTAATAATTTGGCAAATAATTCCACTACAGATGTCCATGTAGGTTAAACACCATCTCTTTCTCCTGTGTGTATTTTGACTGAAACTCGCGCGTGCCCAAATAGACACTCCCACACCCTCCCACTTTAGTTCCTCCGACACTCCCCCCTAAACAGAGCTGGACACCCCCACTTTTCTGACTTTTTCCAAAGTGGAGGTGTGAAAACACCCTGCTGAAACGAGGGGGTTTCATGGCCCTTTAAGTTCCATAAGCCTACATTTTAAAAACAGAGTAATGCCACAGTTTGTAGTAGTTGGTTTTATATTCCAATATCCAGGCTTTCACAACATCAGCAAATCTTTGACAATCCTAAATACAGAAAATCATATTAGAATCCATTTACTATTAAAGTACAGCATTGTTTAGTGAATTAAACAGTGCTAATGCTGTACTTACACTATTTGCTCAAACTATTTATTTAAAATGAGCTGAAACAACACAATTTTTATTTTATTTTATTTTTTTTTTGTGGCGGCAACTTAATTGTTCTATGTTCAATCTACTTATATTTGTAAAAGCTTCTAAATTAGCTTAATTTATTCATGTTGCCCCAACACAAGTCCCTTGTGTGGAACTCTGCATTGTTTACAGTGTAGCCTGTAGATTTCAGACCGAATATTCAAAGTGGTAAACAATATAGGGACCATGTCACAAGTTGTCACTCAAAAAATGAACGATTGTGCGAATATAAAAGCAATTTTACCTTAGTTTGTACCTCAAAAAAGTAGTGACAGCTCACTTTCTAATCACTTTAAGTGCATTAACCTGTAACTGTAACCTGCGATAACCAGCTCATTCCTCCTCCAGCAGTTCATCGAGTGTAAAGCTGTGATGTGATTGATGTATAGATATGAAGCAGTTTATCAGCTTTGCGTCGTCTTTCGTGATCGTCTGGAGCTGCGAGCTAAAGCCCACCCACAGTTAGTACTGGCCAAGACCGCCACAGACAGACATGGTATGTACATGTGTTCCTTTTTAAATAGCTTTAATGCCAATGCAACCATCTGACAGAGATGACAATGAGCTACTGAACATATGGAAAGTTTCAGTGTATGTCTGAAGTGTACTTTGTCCAGCACCATTTATTCGCTCCTTTTTGACTCCCGAGACTGTTGTCGATCGGACTGGACATCACAGATAACTCATTCTGTAAACATGATGTTAGTCGTGATCTTTGTGTGTTTTGAAAAAAAGTATTGTCTTCACTGATATATCGATTACAGTATACTACAGTAAGGGGCTTGTCGGTGAAGGGAAAACGACCTAACATCAAGCCGTATGCTAATCAATTTATTTTTCTGACCTGTCATTTGCATCACTGTGTAAATCAGGAAGTAAACATACACTGTTACGTTATCTAATACCTCATGTTTGTGATTAAGGTACGTTAAAGTGCGTTTATATTCACACATTAATTCGGACTTTCTCTGTAATAATCCAATTTCAGAAAAGTATTTTTGGCTAAATAGTGAAATTATAATTGCAGCCAACGGCTATCAAAGTGTAGTAAAGTTCACAGTTAATTGAGTGCTAATGTTGTTTAAAGTCATATTTACACGTCCATATATTCAACGTACCATGGTAAACAGGGAGCGTAAAGTTGTCACAGAACAAATGTGCGAATATAAAACCAACTTCACCTCAATATGTTACTTTTATAGTGTTATTGACTGCAATAATCGTTTATTTGGCTGTCACATTCGCTTTGCTGGATATGCTTTATGAGTTATTTAAATGAACCGGTTCATTTGATTCATTTGTTTTGGAGTCGCGCTGCGTGGCGATTCTCTAGAAATGAATCGCCTGTACGCTTGGCGTTGTTGCCCACTGAACAATAGTGTTGTAAATGCGATGTTTCACGCTAAACAGTGACACTTGCAATGATTAAAACACGATTTATAAACTATAAATATTAACTGTGGTGCCATATTGTAAAAAAAGCCAGGTTCTTAGTACAGGAAGTGACATCATTTTTAGGAGAACGACAGCTCCAGCATCAGTAAGTGCTCGGTAAGAAAACCCCGATTTATTTTGTGTTCTGTGCTGTTAGTTGGGATTTCTTAATGTATACCAACTGTCATCAATGTCATAACATTGACAAAAGCGACAGAAATCCACCAAAAGGTGCTTTAGGTGCGATAAAACTCTGTATATGCTAACGTTACCAATCGAACTACAAGCCCTGCTCATTTTGTAGTCCTTTTGTGAATAATTCAGACGTTATTTAAAGACAAAATGTCTATAGCATATTTTTTGGAATTTTGGTATACTTTATTATATATGTAATCACGTTCTTAAGCATATAAACATGATTCTTAAAAAGCAGCATCATGCCTGTGAAAACCATTGTATTTCTGTGCATCATTATTGGGGAGATGGTTAATATTGAAAGCTTGTATTTTAGAATGCTTAACGTGTTGTTTAGGGCTGCATGATATTGGAAAGCACTGAAATTGTGATATTTAGTTTTTCTGTGACCATATACACTCACCGGCCACTTTATTAGGTACACCCAGTACTTGTACCCTCTTTTGAATTCAGAACTGCCCTAATCCTTCGTGGCATAGATTCAACAAGGTACTGGAAATATTCCTTAGATATTTTGGTCCATTTTGACATGATAGCATCACACAGTTGCTGCAGATTTGTCGGCTGTACATCCATGATGTGAATCTCCCGTTCCACCACATCCCAAAGGTGCTCTATTGGATTGAATTCTGGTGACTGTGGAGGCCAATTCAGTACAGTGAACTCAGTTCAAAAACCAGTCTGAGATGATTCATGCTTTATGACATGGCGCATTAACCTGCTGGAAGTAGCCATCAGAAGATGGGTACACTGTGGTCATAAAGGGATGGACATGGTCTGCAACAATACTCAGTTAAAGTTACGGTTTTGTTCTTTTTTTACTCATTGGCTGAAAATGCTGACATTCATGTCTTTTATGCGATATTCGAGTTATGTGCTTGAATATAATACAATTCACATCTTTGGATAGAAACATAGCTAGTGACTTTAAATATCAGGTGTTCTGAACTGTGGTTACTGGTTAATTATAATCCAAATTTGCATTGCAGATCTTGCGATGTGACTATTGCAGGTTTGTACATTGCGATACCCATGGTGAAACGATTTATTGTGCAGCCCTAGTGTTGTTATAAACCCTTTGACAAGCCTGTTATGACAGGTTTAATGGTCATTAACATCTTATATTTGTAAACGTTTTTAATATTTAGATTTTAAAAACGTATGTTTTAAATTGAACAATTATAGTTTGAATTTAATAGTTATTTTTAGGAGGTTTTCACCTTTAATTGAGATAGGACAGTTGAGATTACAGACAGGAAAGTATTGGGAGCAAAGAGAGGGGAAGAGTTGGCGAATCGGGAATCGAACTCGGGTCGCCTTGAGCAATGTGGTGCTATATGTAAGCGTATTTAACCACTAAGGATTTGCCGCTGACTTAACGTAACATTTCTATGTAATCATGAATGTATTTTATCATCTTTGCAAGTTACAAAAAACAAATTACCTCTTGTGCGAGGCATTTATATTATAATGAAGCGTCTATTTGATGTTGTTCTCTCTTCTGGCTGCCGTTATCAATCTCACACTGTTTCTTTCCTTTTTCTGAAAGTCTTTTTTTTATTATAACATTTTAAAAGTTATATATATATATATATATATATATATATATATATATATATATATATGCGCCAGGGGGTAAGCATAAATCACATACAAATATACATATGTTGTAATCAAATAAATACATTGTAGAGTTGACAAAGTTTTAAAGTGCGTAAAGCTTTCTTATTTAGAGAATCTTTGATACTACTAATATATAAGCATAAATCCATCACCAACACCTTAAAGTTGGGTTTCTTATTGGTAAATTTACATTTATGAATGTAAAATTTTGTTTCTTTTTCTGAAAGTCTTGATAACAAGTCTTGAGGTTGTCTTTTATTATTTCAGCAAACAGGATTGTAAAAAAAAATCTTTGTTGTACTCTCCCATTCATTGCACTCTAAGTTTACCCAACTATCATGACTTCCACTACTAATAAACCTGGAAATGTGAAAAATTTGTGCTATGAGATTTTATTTTTGTTCATTTCAATCTTCCTTCAGGCAGAGGAAGGCATCATGCTGGATGAGGTGGTTGTGAATGAGCAGTCGTCCACAGATGCGGATGAGTCAGTGCCATGTTTCCAGACTCCAGGACCCACCGTCACCTTCCATCAAATCCGATACCGCATCAAGGAACGATTAGGAATGTTTAGCTGCCAATGGCGTGAAAAGGACATCCTTAAAGATGTCAGGTGATGGTTTAACATAGACTGATAATTAAAACAATGGATAAACTCTCTTGATCTTTAAGCTTGTAGTCATAAACCTGTAGCTTACTGTACGTTGTAAAAAATTGTCACACAGGTTTGATTTATTTATTTCAAAGAGTTTGTGATTGTGCCAAAACTAATATAGGTATAGATGGCCGTAGCTACATATTATGGTAAAATAGTTTTATACTATTTTTTACTTCTTTTAAGTGTTTCCTAAACTCAAAGGCTACTTTTGTCTTTACATATTGTGAAATATTATTACAGTTCAGTTTATTTCTAATGCATAAAAATTTAATTTATTTGTACAGAGATCAAATATAATTTTCACCAGTCATTAGTTTAGTCATCCATGTTATATGATCCTTCCTAAATCATTGCATTATGCCAATTTGGTTTTCATATAATATAAATTATTATTGGTGCTCAGTTATAAGTAATGGTACTTTTTATTTTAAGATTTTCAGGATTCTTTGATGTCTTGAAAGACAAAAAATAAATATATTTGAGGGGAAATCCTTTATAATACAGTGCTTATGGAAAATATTCATAGCGTTTCACTTTTTCCACATTTTTTTATGTTAAAGCCTTATTCCAAAATGGATTAAAATCATTTATTTACTCAAAATTCTACACACAATACCCCATAATGACAATGTGAAAAAAAAAGCGATTACAGCCTCAAGTTTTTTTGAATATGATGCCATAAGCTTGGCACACCTGTCTTTGGGAATCTTTGCCCATTCCTCTTTGCAGTACCTCTCAAGCTCTATCAGGTTGGATGGGAAGCGACAATGTACAGCCATTTTCAAATCTCTCAAGAGATGTTCAATAGGATTTAGGTCTGGGCTCTGGTTGGGCCACTCAAGGACATTCACCGAGTTGTTGTGAAGCCCTTCCATTGATGTTTTGGCGGTGTGCTTTGTCTCATTGTCCTGCTGGAAGATGAACTATCGTCCTAGTCTGAGGTCAAGAGCACTCTGAAGCAAGTTTTCATTCAGGATGTCTCTGTATATTGCTGCATTCATCTTTCCCTCTATCCTGACTAGTCTTCCAGTTCCTGCTGCTGAAAAACATCCTCACACCATGATGCTGCCACCACCATGCTTTACTGCAGGGATGGTATTAGCCGGGTGATGAGCAGTACCTGGTTTTCTCTAAACGTAACACCTGGCATTCACTCCAAAGAGTTCAATTTCAGTCTCATTAGAGCAGAGAATTTAGTTTCTTATGGTCTGAGAGTCTTTCAGATGCTTTTTGGCAAATCCCAGGCGGAGAGCGGCTTCTGTCTGGCCACTCTACCATACAGGCCTGATTGATGGATTGTTGCACTGATGGTTGTCCTTCTGTAAGGTAGTCCACGGAGGAACGCTGAAGCTCAGACAGAGTGACCATCGGATTATTGATCACCTCCCTGACTAAGGCCCTTCTCCCTCCGATCACTCAGCTTAGATGGCCGGCCAGCTCTAATAAGAGTCCTGTTGGTTCCAAACATCTTCCACTTACGGATGATAGAGGCCACTGTGCTCACTGAAACTTTTCTGAAAGTTTTCCGTAACCTTCCCCAGCCTTGTGCCTTGAGACAATCCTATCTCGGAAATCTACAGACAATTCCTTTGTCTTCATGCTTGGTTTGTGCTTTGACATGCACTGTCAACCCTGGGCAATCAACTGAATTCTAATTAAGCTGCTGAAACATTTCAAGAATGATCAGTGGAAGCAGAATGTACCTGAGCTCAATTTAGAGCTTCACGGCAAAGACTGTGAATACTGATGTACATGTCATTTTTCAGGTTTTTTATTTTTAATAAATTTGCAACAATTTCAAAAAATCTTTTTCCACATCATCATTATGGGATATTGTGTGTAAAATTTTGAGGAAATAAATTTATCTAATCCATGTTGGAAAAAGGCTTTAACATAAAAAAATGTGAAAAAAAGTGAAGCGCTATGAATACTTTCCGGATGCACTGTTTATGTGTTTGTGTGTGTATATGTGTATGTAGTTTTTCCGGCTGTTGACTAAAGGACAAGAGGATCTGATCTGACCTTTAACCGTGCATGTACCAACCGTCCCATCTTTATTGTAAAAGATGTGGTAACCAGAACATTTTGTTTTAGGGTTCTAGCCTCAAGGGAAGATAAGACTTCTAAAAGACTTTTATTATGAAGTTTATCTTAATTCATCTTGCCATATATCTGCATTATATCATCCCCTTTCCCCAGATAGAGAAAACTTTAGATAGCCCAACACCTTTAAGGAATAACAGTTTTGATGTCTGTGTAATTGCTTTTTGATTATGTCGATTTTTTTTAATATGAAGAAATAGTGATACAAGCACGGAACTAGGTTGTGACTGGAAGGGCATCCGCTGCCTAAAACATATGCTGTATTAGGTGGCGGTTCATTCCGCTGTGGAAATCCCTGATAAATAAGGGACTGAGCTGAATGGAAAAGGAGGGAAATAGTCACAGCAAGGAGGTCGCTGGTTCAAGCCCCGGCTGGGTCAGTTGGCATTTCTGTGTGGAGTTTGCATGTTCTTCCCGTGTTGGCGTGGGTTTCCTCCGGGTGCTCCAGTTTCCCCCACAGTCCAAAAACATGCGCTATAAGTGAATTGGGTTAAGCTAAATTGACCGTAGTGTATGTGTGTGAATGAGAGTATATGGATGTTTCCCAGAGATAGATTGCAGCTGGACGGACATTCGCTATGTAAAATATATGCTGGGTAATTTGTTGATTCATTCCACTGTGGCAACCCCAGATTAATAAAGGGACTAAGCTGAAAAGAAAATGAATCCATGAAATAGTTTTACACTTGTTACACAGCATCCTAAGAGCTTTTCAGAAAGTGATGTTTGGTGTTTTGAATCTGTTGCAGTGGGATCATGAACCCGGGAATGAACGCAATAATGGGCCCTACTGGAAGTGGAAAGACATCGTAAGCATGTTCATTTATTTTTGTTTGTTATTTTTGTCTTATTGTCTAGTTTCTAGTCCTGATATTCAAAAAAAATATCTCTACTCTTTGAGAACAGTGCCATTTTAATAAACTTTTAAAGGGCACCTAGGTTACCCCTTTTTTCAGATTTAAAACAAGTATTTTGCGTCCCCAGAATGTGTATGTAAAGTTTCAGCTCAAAAACACCCATCAGATTTGTCATTATACCTTTTACTAGATCCTGTTCTATACATCTTTCCACCAGGGGGTTGTTTTGTCGTACTGCGCCTTTAAGGCGAGTCCTCCCTGCCCACCGTTTCTACGTGTCTTTCTGCGTGCTTTAATCTCCTCCCTCGGCTGTGTCAGACAACAGACAGACTTAAAGAAAGAAGGTCTCACGTAGCGTTTGTGAGAATTACTATTGTAAGAACTTTACAAATGAGTATTTGTTGTGCAGTTGCATTGATTAGTCACACACAATATCGTTACAATGTTCACGCGCACACACACACAAACACACACACACACTGACAGACAGAACGCCCTTAACGTTGGCTTCCCACTCTTTTTGCACGCATATGTGACAGGATGCAGCTTAATTTCCACTGTTGTATGGATATCTGTTATGTTTATGTACATTATAAACCTGATTTAACGTCCACAAACCGGGATTGAAGCGTCTTCCTTCATAATTGTTCTGACACGCGGCTGTGCTAATGAAGTAAAGCTGAAGTAAATGGCTGTACTTCATTACACGCGTCCTCTGTTTTAAACCATTTTAAACATGTGAAACTCACTCTTGATCAAATTTGATGATGATTGATGATCCTAGCAAACTGAACAGAGCTTTTATTCCCGGTTGCTTTGCGCACGTCTGGTCTTGTTGACATGATTATACAAATGACTAACGGGACATGTTAATGCAACAGCTGTCACTATTGTTAGGCGAGGGGAACACACTACTACGTCAAGTTGGGGTCAGACTGAAAACCGCTCCAATTGGTCCACCTTTTTATGTTGTTAAATTGAAAAAAAAAGGACTGGGTGTGTTTATATCACCCCAATTTGATGGTCTATACACTATACCTACATGTATGTCTGTCCAAACAGCTTGAAAAGTAGATTTTTCACCATAGGTGCCCTTCAAAAGCACATTGTAATGTAAACATTGAATTTTTCTGTTTGTTTTTTTTAACCTGCAAACACAGTTAATGTTTAAACTATTTATAAAGTTTAAAGTGGCTGACAATTACATATATTCTTAATAATAGGCATTAATTTGCCTCATTTTTGATCTGTGCAACACTGTAGCTACTTAATTTGGCCAGCTATGCCACTGTACTTCAATACTGGTTATTATGGTTATTAAGACAATTTTTTTCTAAGGTGGTAAAGTTTGAGAACCACTGCTTTAGACAAAATATCAAATCAAAGTTAAAGTTTTTTCACATTTATTTATTTCTATATTGTTTGATACAGGGCATTTGGCATCAAAGCCACAGGGATAAGTAGGAAATGAGTTAAATCAGTTATGGAGACTATAGAGCCAATTCAGATTGTGTTTTAGAGTAGCACTAGAAGCGAAAGTCTCATTATTTAGCTCGAGTCAGATCAATGTTAACTAAATTCAGCTCCAGTATTCTGTTCAACAGAAGATGATAATGCCATCAGCCGGCCTTAATGGATAATCCTTTAAAAATCTGTCTTCATTTGCATACCCTCCATTTATGTATAAGTTTATTTCTTGAAAAGGAGAAACTTTGAAAAATGTCCAATGGAAGTCAGTTGATAACATTAGTGGTTTGGTTTCCATCATTTTTCAAAATGTATTGTTTTGTGCACAGCAAAGCAAAATATTGCATTCATTTTGTTCATATGAATTACAGAGTTTTTTAGCATTACATTTCAGAACTTCTCATTCAGATTTGTGTCAGTAACTGCAGCAAATATGCAGAAAAAATCTAGTGTTTTCATTTTCATCTAAATCGTAAAGAATTCAAGCATTTCCTAAAGCAATCGTGTCTTTGATAGACCTCTAATAGACATCCAAGCGTACATATTTTAGCTAAAGCAGCGCTTTCCAGAGTTTACACTTAGATCAGGGGTAGGGAACCTATGGCTCGGGAGCCACATGTGGCTCTTTGGCCAAAAATATGTGGCTCTCCAGCTGTCTCTCTTCAATAATATTTAAAAAATTTAAAAAATGTAACCGTTACTAGAAATCAGTTTCCTATTGAAATTACAATTACAATTTCCTTTATATTGTATTTTCTACAGCAAAATGAATAAGAGCTTGGTTTATAATAAAAGGACGTTTCAACCAATGCGCATATGTGGTGCTGTGGTTTAACTTGAATCGTGACAACAATAAAGGGCAAGTTATATTTCTTACATTTCTGTGGTAACCTCATGCACATGAATTCAAACATTCATGAGTGGCGATGGCAAAAAGAAAAAATCTGTAAATTGTCCTATCTTCATACATTGCATTGTGTCATATTTGTTTATTTCTGAGTTGTGGTTGGACATAAATAAAGATTTTGTGTATAAATATATAAAGGTTTTGTTATATACACACTGACCATATGGCTCTTTAAAAAATGCATTTGATTAAAAAAAAAAATCTGAAGTGGCTCTTTGCTGAAAAAAGGTTCCTGACCTCTGCACTTAGATATTGCTGGATGCTTTAAGAAGGTTTGGCATGCTGTCCCGGGAGAAAACCCTGAGCTCAGAGATAATTGTGATATTGATCAATCACGTGCTCCTCTCAAATTACTTTATGAAGCTTCTCAAATTTGAGTTGTCAGTGAAAATCTGATAGATGAACTGTATAAGAATAGACCAAATCTAGACTAGTCATCAATGCACTGGAATAAATGACTACGGGCTCTATTTTGACGGTCCATGTGCAGGACGTGTTTTTTCTAATTTACGGACGGGAAAATCCGCTTTGCGCCGTGGCGCATGGGCTAAAAGGTTTGAGTTTATTTTCTTGATGAGTTATAGGTGTGTTTTGAGAATAAACCAATTAGAGTCTCATCTCCCATTCCCTTTGAGAGCCAGCTGCGTCGCGCCAAGAGCGCATTCGCTATTCACAGGACGCAAAGTAAGTCTAAGTGGAAAAACTGAGCATTTCACGAGCAAACATTTAACAGTTTACAGTTTTTTAACCGAAAACTGTTAAACAGAGCATCTACTGCGTGAGAATGAGAGATAATGGATCACTTACACTTTCGCTCTTGGATAGGGAATCCTTTACGCACAGACATCAATTAGCCTATAAATAATTAATTTTGTTTGTTAAGCGCAAATATTCGTTTCAAAACTATTTCTAAATTCAGTTCTAATTTCCAGCAAACAAATAAATGAACAATAATATCCAAGTGTGGTCAAAATACTGAGTTATATCCTAAAACACATGCTGTGCTCCATATGGTCTAAAACCTGACAGGTGGGCAAATCTAAGCTTGTTTTCATAAAACAAATATAAATATGGATATAATAAATAATACTGCTAATAATAATAACATTATACAAAAGCAAACTGTTATGAATGAACTGAAAAAGCCTCCCGAGATGAAGAAGGCATAAAAGCAGTGGAATTTCATATTTATGTTGGTTAGAAAATAATATGCTTTGTAATATTTTAATCCTTTATATTTATATCCTATATATATTCTTATTATATCCTATATATATATATGCTTAATATTTACATTTTTTCATATGTAAAGATATTTGCCTATTGCTCTCTTGTGCATATTAAGCAGTGTGTAAGCGAGGCGCAACTCTGCGCCGGAGTTTAGTCCGGGTTAGTTTTGTTCTAATGAAAATTCTATTATAGTTTCTCAAAATAGCAACGCGCCCGCGGTCCGCCTCAGAACGCCTCCTTTTTAGACCAGAACGCCTATGGGCGCACATATGAGCGCTAATGCATTTGTTATTTAAACAGCGTAGCGCAACGCCTCAAAACCATTCTTGCGCCAAGCTAAAACTACCAAAAGACTATTGCGCCTCGCCTTGCGCCACACTGCGCCGGGTGTATGATAGGGCCCTACATGTGTAAATTAAATCTAATCTGTCTGTTTAATGATTAGTCCATACTTAAATATCTATTATATTTTCAGTGACAACCCAATTTTATCTCTGCTTTATAAGATATTTATGCTTCGATGTCTATTAGACGTCTATATTTAAACGTCTATTAGATGCACACAAAAAATGCTTGCTTATTAATAAACATTTTATTTTAAATGAATAAACTTTTTTTCTTTTCTTTAAAACAAATAAATAAATCCTATCATCATCTTCAAGCTTGAGTGGTATTTGAGCTCTTAGCTGGTGAACAAAACAAATCTCGCTGATGTGTGTCGGGTGCCTGCTTAGATAACAGTATCTTTATCAAATGTTTACAGAACAAGCGGGAACCCAGTGTGCCTGTAGCCTCCTCCACACAGATATGTTTTATTACGTGACAGAAAATCAAAGGCTTCTTCAAAGCCATAGAGCAAATCATTCAAATCTGGTGTCTATTAAATGTAGATCTGAGATTACTGTAGGGAAAACAGCTAAAACTGTTAAGCTAGCACTTTTAAACATCCGATCGCTTAACAATAAGTCACTTCGAGCCAGTGATTTTATCAACACAGATTGCCTTGATTTTATGCTTTTAAGTGAAACTTGGCTAGATGACAGTGTAAGGTCCTGCCAGTGAAGCCTGGTTTATAATCGACACGTCCGCTAGTTCGATTGAGTGCACGTGGCGAATGTGACGTCATCGATTTGGGTGCAAACAACATGATTTCGGCTGGACAAGAGCTGGGTTTGTTTGAGCGAAGAGTGCGTGCGGCTGCAGGCCCAGAGACCCGCCTGCACGCTCAGACCTGCACTTCCAGACCTTCACAGTGCCACCTGCTGTTTGAAAGATTGCCTTACCCTGAATTCAACTGCTTAGAAATTGTAACTTACTCTATTTTTCGACTATTAAATATTGCGCTATGATTTAATGCATAATTATATGAAGTATACTAGATTATGACCTACCTACGCCTATTTTGATTTTAAAAGATCTTATTTGTAATTATTACAGAACTTATTAACAATTGTTATTGTGTTACTGTTATTAGCTGCATCCCAAATCGCATACTTATGCACTATTCTACGCCATTTTGTAGTATAAATAGTGTAAGTAGTGTGTTCACACTGAAAACTCTAACAATTATAAGTGCACTTTAATTACCAGGATGATGCACTCATTCAGCCGGGAAAATGAAGTGTGGAATGATGGACACTTCACGCACTCAACGACTGCAGCTTTGCTCACATAAAGGAAGGCGCGGAGCTATCGGGCGCACATGTTGGATAACTTTATTTTGGATGGTGAAAGCAAAATTCTCCTACGAGAGTGATTATAGCGCCTCCCGGTGGTGAATGCGGTTCTACTCATGCCAGGTATTATTTGATAGTTTGGTCATTTATTTCACTGATTTGGCGACCGTCAAACGTCATCAAAAAAAGTTTTAAATTCAGCTTAATAAAAAAACATTAGTGCTCCATTTGGGACGACACTACATACATGTACAATGCTGTTGAGTGTGTAAATGCATAAGTACATAGTGCATGAGTGCATAATGGATAGTGTGCCATTTGAGATGCAGCTATCGTCTATGCTAGCACTTTCAGATAGATAATACACGAATACAGTAGACCTACATAGCACTAAAATATGCTAATAATAATTGTGTTATATATTATACATTTTATTTTAATATTTTTACTTCATTCATTCATTTTCTTTTCGGCTTAGTCCCTTTATTAATCAGGGGTCGCCACAGCGGAATGAACCGCCAACTTATCCAGCAAGTTTTTATGCAGCGGATGCCCTTCCAGCCGCAACCCATCTCTGGGAAACATCCATCCACACACACACACACACACACACACTCATACACTACAGACGATTGAGCCTACCCAATTCAACTGTACAGCATGTCTTTTAAATGTGGGGAAAACCGGAGGAAACCCACGCGAACACAGGGAGAACATGCAAACTCCACATAGAAACGCCAACTGAGCTGAGGCTCGAACCCGCGACCCAGCGACCTTCTTGCTGTGCACTACCTACTGCGCCACTACGTTGTCCCACTGGCCGAACATACAATCACTTAAACAGAAGCATGTCAGTCTTGGTCACTAAGGGGCAGAACCCTACTTAGTCAGTTTAGAATATTTGTTGTGTGGTCTCCATAGACCTACTATCTACTAAATCAAAACAAAACTATCCAATCATATCGTTATTATTACTATAGAATCAAGCAGACCAATTTACTTAAAATATTAGTAACTTGTATAATCACCATATGATTTAAATATAGGGTGGGCCATTTATATGGATACACCTTAATAAAATGGGAATGGTCGTTGATATTAACGTCCTGTTTGTGGCATATTCGTGTATGTGAGGGGGCAAACTTTTCAAGATGGCTGGTGACCATGGTGGCCATTTTGAGGTCGGCCATCTTGAATCCAACTTTTGTTTTTTTCAATATTAGGAGGGTCATGTGACACATCAAACTTATTGGGAATTTCACAAGAAAATCAATGGTGTGCTTGGTTTTAACGTAACTTTATTCTTTCATGAGTTATTTACAAGTTTCTGACCACTTATAAAATGTGTTTAATGTACTGCCCACTGTGATGGATTGTCAATGCAACCCTCTTCTCCCACTCTTCACACACTGATAGCTACATCACAGGAGAAATGCCAGCACAGGCTTCCAGTATCCGTATTTTCAGGTGCTGCACATCTTGTGTGCATATAAATGGCCTACCCTGTAGGATTGAAATATTAGTAACTTTGAATAATCACCATATGATTTTAAAAGTATTGAAATACTATGAAATACTGCATATAAATATAAATAAACTTGTCTTGCCTATACGGTATGTGCATACAGTATGCATTATGCCAATGTATTTCAGAAATCAAGGCTATATTTTTTGCTTTTCCAGAAAATGCATCTTGATTTCAGAATTTTTAGATATTGAGACTAGAAGCAAGACAAAAACTCCGAGCAAGAAAGGCATGTTTTGCAGTGTTGAGTGTCTGTTGTAATGGATGTGGATGTTAAAATATCTCAATGCTTTAGACAAAATACTAGGGATGCTCAAAATAATCGATTAACTGTTAACCGAAAGGGCGCGTTTGTAACCGATTAATGGTGTCAGTTAAACGATTAGAATAATTTTTTTAGTTTATTTTTAGTTTGGCTGCATAAGGAGCCGATTGAATGCGCTTTTTGCGTTAAGAGGGGCATCTTTTGAATGGTTTACTAAAAGCCTCAATTGTTTTGCACGCGGCTCATCCCAGAGTAGCAGTTTGTACTAGAGCTCGCTGTTTCAAGTTATCCAGAGCTGTATCAATTTACAAATCTTGAATATCACAATATTATTAAATATTACTATTGTAATAACATAGACAGCAACACTCTTGCAAAATCAATACCCAGCTGATTCCATCATGACATAAAAAAAGAGGACCGCGCCTTTTTTTCCTTGTCAAAAGGACGTTTTTGGAATGGAAAATCACGTTTGCTGTGATCAGACATATTTGTTAACTCGCGGCTAACAGCCTATACCGGTTCTTAAAACAGATTCAGTCAGTGATTTTGTTTTGTAATTTAAATAAATTATTTAAGTGAAAATAATTTAGGGTAGGCCTATTTATTTAATTCATTTAATTTATTTTATTCTGTTTTTCTATGCTGAAACGCAGATGCGTGAAGATGCTCTGTTGTTATGTTCTGTTATTATTATGCTAGCATGTTAAAATAAATCAGTATTTTAAAATGCAATATTTAATGTGTCAGACAGACACAAAATAGATGTCAAAATGTGTTTTAAAACAAATTAACAATAATGTATTAGTAATCTGCACAGTTAACTGTTAATAACCGATTAACAAGCGGCGGTTATCGGTTAGCAAAATTGACCGAAATGAGCATCCCTACAAAATACCAAATCGAAGTAAAAGCATAAGTTTTCTCACAGTTATTTATTTACGCCTGTCTGTTTTCAGGCTCCTGGATGTCATTGCGGGACGGAAAGATCCTAAGGGCTTAAAATCAGGTCAAGTTCTAGTTGACAACACCATCGTGACCTCTGACCTGAGGCTGTGCTCTGCTTATGTGGTTCAGGTTAGGACACACAATACTTTCAGTGGCGTCTTCTGTGTATTTTAAATCAATTTGTGTAGCTCTACAAAATGATGATGATCCCAAATGATGTTTAACAGAGCAAGGAATTTTTCACAGTATTTCCTATAATATTTTTTCTTCTGGAGAAAGTCTTATTTGTTTTATTTCAGCTAGAATAAAAGCAGCTTTTACATTTTTTAAAAACTATTTTAAGGTCAATATTATTAGCCCCTTAAGCATTTTTTAATTGTCTACAGAACAAATGACTGTTATACAATGACTTGCCTAATTAACCTAACCTTATTAACCTAGTTAAGCCTTTAAATGTCACTTTAAGCTGAATAAACGGTTCAGACAACGTCAACAACCTACTTTCGTTATTAAGTTTGCTATTGCTATTACTACTAGCTGTACTGTAAAGTTTCTCTCTGGTGAATTTATACAGTGATGCATTTAAGAGGCTTAACTTTGGATGCTGCTTTGAAGGGTGGGACATTGGCTTTCAGTGCTGTTGTAAAAAAAAATAAATGAGATGAAAAGAGAAGAGAGAACCCAGTCCAGGAGACTCGAAACAAGCAGAATTCCTTTATTGAGACGTGTTGGTTAATCTGCAGTCATACAGCGTCTTTAAAGATGTCTAATGTGTCTGCATGAGCCTACTAGAGGTCTGCAGTCTGCAAGTTCTTTCACAAGTCTCTCACACAAGTCTCACACAAGTCTGAATTAGTCTGCAAAAAGTCCTGTCTCTATTGTCCTGTTAGGAGGAGGGGGCATAGCTAAACAAAGTATGTAAATTAAGCGTTGTGGTCGGCAGGGTAAACTGCTCTTTCAGGCATTGATCTCATCATGTTCTGGAGACAGAAACCTCCTGACCATTTGATTGAAAAGAGAAAACAATAGACACCCCATGCTGTGAAACTGACAATTTGCATTACTTTGGCTTAGCCTGTAATCAGAAATGTCCCTCCTAGCTGGGATGTTAATGAAATTATATAATTAAAAACCAGAGAATATAACTTTTTAGTTATACGTAGATTATTGTTAATTTGAAATTAGATGATAAAAATTTATATTTCCACAGTGCTGTCAGACTAACATTAGCATGTGCCAAGATCTGAACAATATTTCATGTATTGTCTTATTTTACACAGTACGGCTTGATATAGAGTAAAATAAAATAAATGCTGAGTCATTGAAAGTAATTCTAGTGAAAACATTACATTTTCATTGTCTTTCAGAATGACATTCTGATGGGTACTCTGACCGTGAGGGAAAACCTAGCGTTCTCTGCCAATCTTCGCTTGTCACTGAAGGAATATTCCTCATCTGACAAAGAGATGAGGGTCAACTCCGTCATCCAGGAGCTCGGCCTCAAAGATTGTGCAGACACTAAGGTAATAGACTTCAACCTTGTGTACAGGAAGGTAAACATGATTTGTTATGTTTGTACGAACATAACCTTACTATGAGTCAAATCTTTTATAAATGAATCGATAGATTTATATACTGTGCACATCAGATTTAAGCCTTAGCTGGATATTTCACTTCACTTCGAGCTGTTATGCTGTGTTCACACCAGGCGCAGATAAATCGCGATATTCGCGCGTAAATAGCCGTGTAAACATTTGAGTGTACTCGCTTCATTCGCGCGTCAAATTCGCTTCATTCGCACGTCAAATTCACTTCAGAACAGACGCCGATTTGCGTGATGGGCAGGGCTTCTGTCTGCCCGTTGCCTCTAGCTTCGTAGCTAAATGGCTAACATGGATTTTATGAAGAAAATAACAGTGTTTATGTGCTTTATGAAGACTGAAAAACAGCTTCGATACGTTTAGGGTCGTGTCTGAGTCCACTACATTCTTTCAGAGGTGCATCCAGCTCTGTGAGCTCATAAACTCCTCCAGAAACTGAACCTGGCTGACGGAGACTTTCAGCGGTGCATCTGACTGAGCCAAGCCCAGTTAGATGAACTCCTTGTCGGTGTCGGCTGGAGGATTTTCACTGGGACACCCACAACAGGCGATACGTCACAATCACGCCCCCACAAGAGCAAGCTCATGATTGGTTAACGCGGCGAGAATGTCCGCTGAAGTTCAGATTTTCGAACTCAAGTGATTCGCGCAAAACGCTCAATTCGCGCTGCGCCATTTGTACGTATCGCGATTCGCACAATTCGCGCCGCAGGATGTCTATTCACGCGTTTGCATTGACTTAACATGTAGATCACTCGCGCTTGACGCGCGTTACGCATCTGCTGTGAACGCAGCATTACACACTGCATGGAAGGTCATTTTGAAAAACCCATAATAGGGGCTCTTTAAAAAAGTAATGTGTATCTAATTCCTAACCCCAACTGTAAATTATTCCCAAAATCAGAGGGCATTAATAATTCCAACGTTGCCAATGTTACCGGTTGAAACCTAAAGTGGCGATGAAGTCTTAAAATGTATGGAAAGTGTCTTAAAGGTATTGAATTTCATTCTCTGATTCCTGTACATACTAAGATGTTGATGCAGGAACATGTCCTGCTTGGTGAAATCAAACTAAACATCCCTATATTGTGAGTGGTGGAATGAAAATGTCCATTTAAAGTGATATTGCTTTGTTTGGGCTTGTTGTCTCTCAGATCGGTACAATGTTTTTACGAGGTGTTTCTGGTGGGGAGAAGAAAAGGTGCAGCATTGGCATGGAGCTCATCACTTCCCCGTCGCTCCTGTTCCTGGATGAGCCCACCACAGGCCTGGATGCCAACACTGCCAACTCCATCATGGAGCTCCTGCAGAAGTACAAAATCTCATATCAAATATACCTGCCTCCCGCTGCAAGCAATAATAAAGTATGCCTTTTAAAAACACTTTCTTCCAGCATAACCTTGTGAAGCCTCACATAATGAAGGGATGGTTCACCCAAATCGAATTTACTCGCACACAAGTGGTTCTAAACGTTTATGAATTTCTGTCTTCTGTTGAATGCAATAGAAGATATTCTGAAGAATGTAGCCAGTAGCTATGTTTCTATCCAAAAATGTGAACGAAAATTAATGCGCAAAACTCAAATATCCCATAAAAGATGTGCAATTAAAGCAGCGTTGAGTCAAAGAGAACAAAATCGTCACTTCATGATTATCTGGCACCAAATATTAACAGTAAAAACGGAATTTGCTGTGATAGGAGAAGCTGCGTGAATCTTTTCTTCATTTAATAAATTACTACCTCAGAACACAATGCCGACACGCAATGAATGCGTGGTGACGTTTGAAGGCGTGAGATGCGGCACACAAAAACTCTTGACTATTTTAGTAATTAATAATATTTATTATATTATTAATTATATTGTTATTATTAATATTATATTAATAATATTATTAATATCGGAGGTATTTAATAATATAATAATACTAATACTAAAATGGTTATGGTGTTTTAGAATGACCAAAACAACATTTCAGATGTTTTACAATGTGCTCAGCCTGCTGGTTTGTCCATTCACGCACATTTATATCATCACATAATCTCTCATAACAAAATCACTAAGGCTTTTTTTTAATTTGCATACTGGAATTTGTTCAGTTAATGTGTTTCAATCATAGTTTATGCGCATCTTTTCTTAGCGAATAAAAAGTTTATCCTACTCAGTTATGTGCATACATTTTTTTATGCGAATGTTCAAAATTGGTCGCATCTTGACTTTCCATCAACCAATTTTTTTATACGCATATCCAAAATGCGCATAAAAATAGGTGGATGGAAGCATAGCTACTGACATCAATTGCAGCAACAAAATTGTCAACTTTCTTCAGTATACCTTTCTCTGTGTTTTACAGAAGAAAGAAATTCAAAACCAGTTTGGAACAAGTGGAGGATGAGTAAACAATGGCAGAACTTTCATTGTTGGGTTAACTATCTTTATAAAATTGAATTTGAAATGTTAAAAAGTTAATTATGTTGGTTTGAGAAAGTTGCTTTGTTTGCCTTATTTTCATTTTGGAAGAATCCCCCTTCAACCCCATCTCCTCCTTTTACTAGGGGGAGCCCTCGAGAGCTACCTTATCTCAGATCCCCTTATATGCTTATTGACCAGGCAGGAGCCCTAGGCTCAATTATCTCTGAGCTTGGGGTTCTCTCCTGGGACAGCCTGCCAAACCAGCTAATAGCGGCAAGCAATATCTAAGTGTGAGCTCTTAAAATGCTAATTAAACATTTTTTTATTATTATTTTAGAACGTTTCTCCTCCTAGCACTTTAAAAAGCTGTGTTCTGCATTGCTGTTTGTTGCTATATCTTTTCCAACTGGTCCAAGGTTTGGTTTTCCAAAAAAGACCCTGGAAAAATCCCATTGACGTAACATGAGACCAAACTTTGACCCATCATAACTCTGAACAAGATAGTCATAGAAACACGTGATCTTACACAATTGAAGAGGATGTCAAGCTGTTTAAAATTACATATTAAACTGGGGTGTAAGCTGTACCCCCAGAGCATACCAAACATTCCTATTGACAACAGTAAAGAAAGTCCCATTCAAAAAGAAACTTGGAAAAATCTTCACCAACTCTCTACCCCCATTTGGTTCTTCACCAAGCCAACATCAAATTTCATCAATGAACTATAGCTTCTAGTTCGATATTTAGACAAAATCTTGGATGCATCAGGCTTTTTTATTACATGTATTAAGTTAAACTACATTTCCTAATATTTATATTGCAAAAAAAGATGCAATTCCAACAGCCTCATGTAAATCAGTGAGATATTTATATCAGTATAGCAGGCCACTTACATACATTTCTGAGACTGTCTAGATAACGTTTTAGGCAGTAACAATTCTGTAAATAGGGATGCTGTCAAAAATAATGCCATAAATATAATTTATTATACCAATGAACTTTATTTATTAGTTTAAATCAACATTTAGCTTGACTACACTTTGCTTTTGATACAACTTCTGCCCTCTATAAAACTTGCGCAAATTTAAGCTTTAAGCTGAATTCAAGCTAATTTCATTTACGCTTTGCAAAAAGCAAAAGATATACAGTAAATAACCGACTTGAAACCGTTTTTTGTTGGTGAAATCACTTGTTGCATATGTCTTTTGCACAGTACTGTAGACATAGACGTCCAGGATCATGATTTTGCCCCCCACTGCATGAACGACTTCCTGTGACATCATATATTATTGTATTTATGATTAGCATAGTGATTAATTGCTCAGAAACTAGTTGCTGTGAGTCCAGGTGCCATCTTCTTATCAATTTCTTGTTTGTCATTGAGGTCAGTGTTGCCAACTAGGCGCTTAAGTTACTAAATTAGGCCACGCGTGTGTGATTTGAACTATTAAACATTAAACTGCTGACTATTTTAAAACTAATCTTCATCATGAAGATCACAGATATGGATTTTTAATGTGTTCACTGGTTGCATATGTCAGATTTATTGCATGCTTCAGGTTGATAAAAGTGGTTGCTACTAAGTTTCCTTAATTGAGTCATGATAATGATAATAGGATCGACCACAATGAACTCTTTGACTTGGACCTTCCAAGTCATGAAAGGTTTGCAAAGAAACCGTTCATCATTTGGAAAGGTTTCTTCGCAAACCTGGTTAAATATGTGTTTTATATATTATAATAATTTATTCGAGGGATTTAAATGATGAATTTTCAGCTTCATTACTCCAGTCTTCAGAGTCACATGATCCTTCAGAAATCACTTTAATAATAATTATTATTGTTATTATTATTATAAGTAGTAGTACTGTTATTAATGTTAATAGTAATAAAACCAATAAAGACTAAAGTATTAATTTCATGGAAAGTACAAGCAATAAGACAGCAGCAAATTTTTTTGTATGCAGTTGAAGTCAGAATTATTAGCCCCCCAGAATTGTTGGCCCCTTGTTTATTTTTTTCCCCAATTATTGTTTAACGGAGAGAAGTTTTTTTTTTCAACACATTTCTAATCATAATAGTTTTAATGACTCATTTCTAATAACTAATTTCTTTTATTTTTGCCATGATGACAGTACATAATATTTGACTAGATATTTTTCAAGACACTTCTATACAGCTTAAAGTGACATTTAAAGGCTTAATTAGGTTAATTAGGTGAACTAGGCAGGAAAGGGTAATTAGGCAAGTTATTGTATTGACCTTATTCTAAAATGCGGAAGTTCGCCTGTTTTCGGGATTGTCTTAGAACTTCCGATTCAGTCGTCTATGGGAGAAATGACCAGGAATAATAAACGGCAGAAAACGGTCAAACTACTTGCTCTGCAAACAAATGTTTGCATGACTATACAGACCAAGTAGAATAATATAAGTTTTTAATGTCTAAAAATGAATGGAAGTGAATGAGACCGGAAGTCTCGAGCCAAAAAGATTCAAATGGCAGCGCCCACTCGTCGGCGGAGAATAAGGTCAATAACGATGTTTTTTTCTGTAGACTTTTGAAAAAAGAAATAGCTTAAAGGGGCTAATCATTTTGACCTTAAAATTGATTTTTTTAAAAATAAAAACCGCTTTTATTCTTGCCAAAATAAAACAAATAAGACTTTCTCCAGAAAAAAAAATATTATCACACCTACTGTGAAAATTTCTTTGCTCTGTTAAACATCATTCAGGAAATATTTAAAAAAGAAAAATCAAAAGGGGGCTAATAATTCTGACTTTAACTGTATTTAACTTTTTTTTTACATTTAATAAATGCCACCATGATGAACAGAATCATTTTCTTATTAAAAAAAACATGAAAACGAAAACTGACTCCAGAATGTATATATACAGTGCATCCTGAAAATATTGATAGCGCTTCATTTTTTCCAATTTTATTATTCCAAATTTATTATTCTTTTTCCAAAATGGGTTAAATTAATTTATTTCCTCAAATTTCTACACACAATCCCCCATAATGACAATGTGATAAAAGATTTTTTTTTAAATTGTTGCAAATTCATAAAAAAACACCTGAAAAGTTTTATGCTTTAACTTGTCAGAAGAAACCTCATTCCACGTCATATCTAAAGCTCGTCATGTTCAATGTGTTTTTGTAAGATTTGTTCATGCAGATCAAGTCGGAAATTAATTGACTTGTTGTTTTGCATCTTCAGTATCTCCAAAAAGGGCAAGACTGTCATCTTCTCCATTCACCAGCCGCGCTACTCCATCTTCAGACAGTTTGACCACCTCACACTCATGAATAAAGGAGAAATCATCTACGCGGGGGCCGCCGACAAAGCCATTATTTACTTCGAAGACTTGGGTATTGATATTAATCCTACTATGTAAATGCAAATTCTCTAATTGTATCATGATAAGTGTGCTGTGATTCATAATCTTCTGTTTATTTCTCACAGGTTACAAGTGTGAGCCGTTCAACAACCCGGCAGACTTCTTTCTGGATGTCACCAATGGAACAATCCGTCCTCACAAATCCTCAAACAATATATCAGGTGCTTTATTTAGATATTGCATCGCACGCTGTTGCCGTCAATCTTTGCATAATGTAGCCATACTTTTGATCGCTTAAACATTGTTTGCGTTAAATGTATGCTATGCTTTAAAGTGTAGTGTACGCATTACAGCCTCACATTTGACAAGCTCTGGGCGAGTGGCCGTAACCGCCGTAAACTATTGATTTTCAAAACAGCCAATCACAAGCCAATCACCAGCATTTAATCCTTGCACGTTAAGGATGCCTCAGGTTTTCTACCTCACTGACATTGACAAGATTATACCCTTGGGTATCCAAATTTGGTACCGACCGAAAATTATTTTTTGATACTCTATAGTATCTAGACAATTCAGTCCAGGCCCGGATTGGCCAATTGGGAGGACCAGGGGCCTCATGTACGAAGACTTGCGTGGAAATCATACTAAAACATTGCGTACGCACAAAGCTGTAAATGTGCGTACGCAGAAAAAAATTCAGATGTATGAAACACTGCGTACGCCGAATCTCACGCATATTCTTTTGTACATCTGAATGAACATGAAACTGAGCGCAACATGCACGAGCGCAAAACCCCTCCCTGGCTCCTCCCCCGTATGAATATGCAAATTAGAGGTGCTGCTTTCGGAGGTAGACCGGAGAAAAGCGGTGTTATTTGCAAGTTTGTTCTCCGGAATTAACAACAAAAGAAAAAAATAGAGTGGGAGAGTTTAGCTGATGCGGTTAACACAGTTGGGTCTGAACATCGCACTGAGTGAATTAAAAAAGAAATAGTGTGATTTATACACGTAAAATGTTGCAGTATCCTCAACAGTCTCAGTGGCGCGCTTGTAAAACGCATGTCAACATGTTTTGACGCGTTCGAGCATGAACTCGGTTCGAATCCAGCGTCTGATGAACTCTTTCTTCTTTTTTCCCCACGCTACGTATCAGATTTTGCCAACTATTTATCACGAGAAAGACAAGTAGGAATCATTAATAAGTTTGTGCATCATATTTTATTTGCACATTTATTAAAAGGAAATGTTTCTGATTCACGTATGCAAATTCATCTTCAGATAGTGTCTTTACAGCAATGAGCGTGCAGTAGATAGCTCAGATTACATTGGGAAAACAGGCGACCGCTGCAAATTGCGCTTTAATGTTTGGCTGGTCAACTGCATGGTATGGAAACCTTATATACCTGCTAGATGAACCCGTCTCATACAGCTGCCATTGCAAGGCTCAGACACTTTGTAGAGAAGAATTTAACACAACTGCCTCTAGGAGTCTCCAATGGAAATAAAACAGACACGCACAAAAAATGTGCGTACGCCAGCCATAAAGCTGCGCACATTCCCACGTTCAGTTCATCGGTAGTAAATCCAAACGTAAGCGATTCTGAGCGTGAAACCTGGCGTACACAAAGTTTTTGTGCGTACGCAGCGTTGATACATGAGGCCCCAGGAGAGTTCCCGATGGGCCGGTCTGTTTTCTGGCGGCGAGGGTCGGTGTTTCTAGCTGCTTGCACTCTCAGCAGTCGCACTTTTTTTTCATTTATTTATTTATTTATTTGACCATTGCCTCATTTTTTTTATTCATTAATTTGCCGCAGCTCCACTCTTCTTTTTTATTGTCTCGCAGCCCCGTGAGCAAAATGCAGCCTGCAGGGTAATGATGATGTAACTGTCATTACGGCCTCGCTAGCATAGCAGCGCCATTTTGATCCAGTGGTCAGCACGTTGCGTTACGACATTGTCGATCCGTGTTCGATCCTCACCAGAGTAATTTTTTTTTTTTCATTTTTATTGTTGAGACCTATAAAACTGTAAGGTTGTTGAACATTTGAAGTTTTAAAGCAGCTGTTTTCTTGAAAAAGACGTGATAGTGTCATTAGAAACTGAATTGGAAATGACCTTATTTTAATATGGTCAGTAGTGAACTGAGGTGGGCTGGTCTAATGCTTGAAACTCCAGGGCTGAAAAGGAGTCCCACTCCGGCCCTGATTCAGTCGGTGCCTAAAAAGTATCGAACTCGATATCCAGCACTACTACTAATACTCAAGTGGACCATCAGATAAAGTGTTACCCATTTTTTAACATGGCACTAACTCTACACTGTTATTTCTATGCATACAGTTAGCATGCAGAACTAGGCAAGGAAGCTGCTTGAGCAGTAGGGGCGCAGTAGCTGAAGGCCGATTCATCACCATGCTTTGATTGATTGGAATTTCTAATTTACTTGATCCTAATGATCTGAGTGATCTGTTAGATTTGTATTCAGTGAGTATATATTTAATGTATTAAGGTCCTAGACCATTTAGTGATTTATAGACGAGTAGTAATACTTTAAAGTCTATACTAAATGTAACTGGAAGGCAGTGTAAAGACCTGAGGACCGGTGTGATGTGCTCTGATTTCCTGGATCTGGTCAGAATGGCAGCAGCATTCTGTCTTTTTAGGAAGGCCAGTGAGGAGTCCTTTACAGTAATCCGTCCTGCTGGTCATAAAAGCATGAACAAGTCTTCACTGAAAACAAAGCATCTAATTTCTGCGATTTTTTGAGATGATAGGATGCTGATTTACTGACTGCTTTGACATGACTACTGAAACTCAGATCTGACTCCAATCACACCAAGATTCTTGACTTTAGTTCTTGTTGTTTGATCCCTAGTGCCACAATCACATTGAGAATCTCATCTCTGTTCCCAAATGCTTCAGTCTTCTCTTTGTTTAACTGAAGAAAGTTTTGGCACATCCAACTGTTCCTTTCATCAGTGCATTGGCAGAGGGTGTCAGTGCGGCTGTAGTCATTAGGCAGTAAGGCCAAGTAGATCTGAGTGTCATCAGCATAGCTGTGGTAGGAGATTTTTTTTATTTTTATGAGGGAAATGTTTAATAATTATACTTTACATGGGTATTTCTTGTTTGTGGACCACTCTGTGATCAGCAATCCATCTGTGTTGGGTGTGTTTGTAGAGAAGTGCAGCAGCAGTGAGGAGATGGTGGACAATGAGAATCCCCTGGCCGTCATGTACAGAAAGTCCCCGTATTTCACCAAATTAAAAGATAGACTCACTGAGATTTCAGACGGGCTCGACCCTGAGGTCACTAAAGGTGACAAGATTGGTTACGCCACACCTTTCTATTACCAGGTATGTAGAAATCACGGTTTAGGTTATCTAACCAATCAGCAGATGAGCTCTGCGCATTTATAATGAGCGTATGTCCATGTTGCAGCTCCTGCTGGTGAGTGGCCGCACCATCAGAAACATCTTAAGGAATCCTCAGACGTCGTATGCCCAACTGTTCCTCAACATTTTCTTCGGTATTTTAGTGGGATTGATCTACTACCAGATCCCGCACACTTTACCTGAGGCTCTGCAGAACAGGTGAGCAGTTACTACCCAATCAGAGTTCACATATAGTCCACGCTGGGTCCACATTCGTTTTAATTTGAGAGTGTATTTATATGTATGCATTGTAAATACAGTTGGAGTGTAAATGATTCGCCCTCCTGTGAATTATTTTAAGTTTTCTAATATTTCCCAAATTATGTTTAACAAAGCAAGGGATTTTCACAGTATGTCTGATAATATTTTTTATTCTGAAGAAAGTCTTATTTGTTTTATTTCGGCTGGAATAAAGTCAGTTATTAATTAAAAAAAAAAAAACATTTTAAGGTCAATATTTTATATATATATATATATATCTTATATTTTATATATATATATATATATATATATATATATATGTGTTTGTGTTTGTGTGTGTGTGTGTGTGTGTGTGTGTGTGTGTGTGTGTGTGTGTGTGTGTGTGTGTGTGTGTGTGTGTATATATACGTATATATGTATACACACACACACACACACACACACACACACACACACACATATATATATATTATTGGAATTATACAGTCACAGTTCAAATTATACAGAATTTGTGGAGTTACTACATACAGAGTTTGTCATTTGCACAAGTTTTTAAGCACTGTAAGAGTTTTAAATCATTCACACACGCCATTTATAGCTTTAATAGAAAATAATTGTATTACTATTTAAAGAGTAAAGTCTTTGCAGTGTTATTTTATGTTTGATTTGTTGTCAATTTCTGCACCTGAATATGATTTCACTATACCCTGAAAACCATAAATCTCGGTTTATTTTATTTATATTTGCTCGCATTTAGCTATGCTTGTAATTTGTTCATTACATTTCATGCACAATTTGTTCCCCTACAAAATCAATCGAAAAATTTATGAATTCTTTCCAAACAGAAACATTCAATTAATTTGGTGAAATTGTATTTATATTGCAATATATATCGCAGAAATACAAAATATTGCAATGTCAGATTTTTCCAATATCATTTATGTATAGTATAGATATATACAGTTGAAGTCAGAATTTTTAGCCCCCTGAATTATTAGCCCCGTTTATTTCTGTTGAACGGAGAGAAGATTTTTTTCACATTTCTAAACATACTAGTTTTAATAACTCATTTCTAATAACGGATTTATTTTATCTTTGTCATGATGACAGTAAATAATATTTGACTGGATATTTTTTAAGACTTCTAAACAGCCTAAAGTGACATTTAAAGGCCTAATTAGGTTAATAAGGTTAACTTGACAGGAAAGGGTAATTAGGCAAGTTATTGTATGATGATGGTTTGTTCTGTAGACTATTGAAAAAAGAAAATAGCTTAAAGGGGCTAATAATTTTTACCTTAAAATGGATTTTTAAAAAATAAAAAAACTGCCTTTATTCTAGCCAAAATAAAACAAATAAGACTTTCTCCAGAAGAAAAAAATATTATCAGGCAGACTGTGAAAATTCCCTTGCTCTGTTTAACATAATTTGGGAAATATTTAAATATAATAATTATTATTATTATTATAATAATTATATAATAATAATAATATATACATATATATAATTATAATTTATATTATAATTATATAATAATAATAATAATAATTTTTATATATATATACATATACATATCAGTTGTCATTTCCAACAGTATTTTACAAGTAAGGTCATTTCAAAATGCTTCATTTTATGATCAGAGCTGTGTGGTAAAATAATTAAATGATGATTGTTGAGTTGTACAAACAAACAAAAAACCTGATTTATATTTGATACTCTAATTGGACCAAAACTAATTGGTACAGAAAATTATGATATTTTAATACTAAATAAATGAATAATTTACAGACAAAACTACACCTGTGATTCAATTGAAGCTTTCATACTGAAACTTATAAGACTGCATTTCTCTTCAGAACAGGAGCTTTCTTTTTCCTGGTCATCAACATGGTGTTTGGGAATCTGTCAGCGGTGGAGCTGTTTGTCAGCGAGAGAGAGCTCTTTATGTGAGTTAAACATGCTAAAAATGAAGTTTAGTTAAGTTTTAGCTTTTCCCACCTCTTATTCCAACATCCTCACCTGTTCCTCTCACCTTCAGCCATGAGAACTCCAGTGGTTTCTACCGCACCTCTGCCTACTTCCTGTCCAAAGTGTTTGCTGACCTCATTCCAAACCGCATCCTCCCTGTGTTCATCTTTTCTGCTATCCCGTACTTCATGATGGGTGAGTTGTGGTGCTGAAAGACACCATTTTGGGCTGCATGTATCTCCGGGACAGTCTTAAAATCCATTGCATTCAATTTTAAAGGCCCGTTCACAATAATCGCAATAACTATAATGACGGAGTTCATGATTGTGACAGCAGAATACAGACCACAGTTACAATGATGTCATGCAAATTAAAGGAGTTTTCCAGATAAAATAGCAAAGAGGGGGCAGCACGGTGGCTCAGAGGTTAGCACAATCGCCTCACAGCAAAAGATCGCTGGTTTGAGTCCAAGCTGGGCCAGTTGATGTTTCTGTGTGGAGTTTGCATGTTCTTCCCGTGTTCATGTGGGTTCCCTCCTGGTGCTCCAGGTTTCCCCCACAGTCCAAAGACATGCGGTACAGGTGAAGAGGAACAACTAAATTGGCAGTAGTGTGTGTGTGTGTGAATGCCAGAGTGCATGAGTCTTTCCCAGTACTGGGTTGTGGCTGGAAGGGCATCTGCTGCGTAAAACATATGCTCGAATAGTTGGCGGTTCATTCCGCTGTGGCAACCCCTAAATGACCTTATTTTAATATAGTCAGTCGTGAACTGAGTTGGGCCGTTCTAATGCTTGAAACTCCAGGACTGAAAAGGAGTCCCTCCCCGGCCCTGACAGTTGGGTTTCATTGGTGCTAATTGTTTTACTGGCCCTAAATCGCTTTGAGTTCCCTAGAAAAGCTCTATATAATTGTAAGAAATGTATTATTACTACTATTACATGTAACACTATTCCGTTTCATTGAGTCCAGGCCTGAAGCCGGAAGTGGAGGCGTTTTTCCTGTACTGTGTGACCATGAGTATGGTCAGTCTGTCAGCCGTGAGTTTGGCCTTCCTGGTCAGCGCCAGCGTGGGCTCCTTCGCCATGGCTAACATCCTCATTGCACTGCCTTATGTCTTTATGATGGTGAGTTGACCGATTTTATTTCAGGAGACATTAGATTTTACAGAGTTAGCTTAGCAAAGCCTACAGCGAACAAAGTTTGGGGAATACAAAAAAATACCAGGCTAGTGAGATCACAAGGGATTCTGGTTACATGCATTCACCACACCCTGTGCAGTGAAGGGGCGTGGCCACAGGTGGCCACACTCTCCCTCAGGAAGCCAATACGGAAGTAACTAAAACTGCAATTCATCCGAAATTCCGCTAGTCCTGGCCGCTCCTGGCTCCAAAACAGAGCAAATTTCAATTGAGTCCACTGTTAGAATGGCCAACTTTACAGCAGAAAAAAAGGTGTTTACAGCCTGGTACAAAAAAAGATTTTGGTTAATACAGCTAATATTACCCTTCATGACAACTGTGAGGGGGGTGAATTTTTTTATAACTCATCCGTTTCCTTTATATTAAGTTATATTAAGTTTGCATAATTAAGGGCGTGGCCACTTGAGTGACAGCTAGGTCTCGTTGGTCGCCGTCACGTCACCTCAGCTGAACCCTGCAGATTAGCCACTGAACTCGGCATATTTATCGTATTTCTGTGTTGTTTTATGTGGCTTTACACAGTCAACTGCCTTTTGGACTTGTTTCCTACAATTATTAGATGGCATGGCATGCTGAGTGCACTTAACTGTGCTCACAAACCATTCACGTGGCCTCCGTTTCCCATGTGAGTAAAGTTATATACTTATATACCATCTCTATACATGTATTTGTTTTATTTAAGATCATTTATCGTTTATATTTATATTTAGAGCTGTAATGCACTCCAGAATCTGACGAATTGATTAGCTGTAGGCTCTAGAACAGTCATCTGAAGTGTTGTCATACAGTGTTATGCTGGATTTCATCAATAGTCTTACATTAACTAACACAGACTGTATCTGAAGTGTTGGGAAGTAATTCGCGTTTTCCTCCTGTTGAAAAACGTCATAAGAACAATGTTTAGTGGCTCAATGTGTTACAGCAGTGTTTTTAAAAGACTAAACACTTTATTGATATAGTATACAACCAAGCACAAGTGGTCAGAATACAAACGAGTGACAAGTGATAAAGTATTAAGCGTTCTCCCAAAGTAAAGTGTGTCTGCAGGTCCAAGCAAAATGCAGCATGCGTCTGTAATTCCGCTCACTCTCCGCCTCTTTGCCCTTGTTTGGTATCCCGCCGTCAGTGTGATGACGCACGAACAAAATGGCGACGGTTGGCCGCGCCTACTTGTGGCTTCTTTTGCGCTCTTTAGAAACCTATAGGTGATGTCACGGATACTACGTCCATAGATTTTACAGTCTATGGTTACAACAGAGAAAAATGCCATCTAAAGGCTGCTATTTCCACAGCGCTCATTCTGCTTCTGTATTTGGGCTTTTAAACAGATAATTGCCTTTTCATGTAACTTTTAAATAAAGGCTATTTAAATAACACTTATAAAACTGTAAAGATCGACTTTTTGATGGTATTTAAATATTATAAACTTATTTATTTCTTGTTCAACAGTAATATGAATGAAATATTCTGACAACATCTGAAGAATGCGCATGTGATAAACAATGTTCCTGGGCCCGGTTTTTCAAAAGGTTTAATCTGGATAAAATTGATCCGGATTTAGTAATCCTGTTTTTGCAATCCATGATCACGTAATCCAGCTTACTTTTTGAGCCAGTTTTTCAAAGCAACATTGGATTGGATCAATCTGATCCGGATAGGAACTTTTCAGGATCCCTAAATCTGAATAACCAGTGCTCAATCACAATGTAGATGGATAGACAGGCCTATGAAAAGAGCAACAAGTAGAATAGCCAGTGTGGGGTCAATATAACTTTATTTTTATTCGAAATGAAAACACACACATTAAAATAAATAAAAACAATAAAAACCCCACCCATCCTCTTTCAGCAGTCCGCTCATCTGAGACCTACAACACAAACACTGTACATTGAGGATATTTACAATAAGGTTTAAATATAGAAGTAAATAAAAAAAAAGACTTAATGTCAAAAACTCCACAATAAGTTCAGACTTCCTCATCTGATGTGGAGAGAGCAGCTTGTCTGAGCAAAGCCTTTATAAGTCTGGCCTTGGTTTGCTGCAGTTTGGTCAGAGTCAGTTGTTTCTCTGCCAGATGAAGCTTTGCTTCTGCTCAGTCTCTTTGCAATTGTTGAAGGTGATTTCAAAAATCAGTGATTGACATTCTTTGCATTTTTTTTTTTTGGTTATTCTGTAATCATTGCATACATTACTAATAAATATTCTAAAAACAAAAATATTTTCCATTGTGGTGAATATATATATATATATATATATATATATATATATATATATATGTATGTATGTATATATATAAATTATTGACATAATAAAATGTATTGTTTTTGGTCAATTTTGACAGCTGTTTGGGGGATTATTTTTATGAGGCCAAGCTATTTCTGCTGTAGGCCTGTACTGAAAGGCTGAATACATTAAAGCCAGTAATCACTATAGCCTGACAGATGTACAAATAAAATTAAAACCTTATGAATAAATAGTATATCCTGTACTGCATGATCCAAAAATAGTATTATTTAATACATTTTTAAAGTTTTCATTACATTTTGGGCATGAAATCCACACTAAATCCACCCTTCTGATGGGATCAGTTTAATCCATGTTTTTTGGATCAAAGTGATCCAAATCCTACAAAAAAGGTCTGAAAAACCCAAACTAAAGGTTTGATCCAGATCAAAACCAAGATTAGATTACTTGATCTAATCCGATTAAGTAATCCGTTTTTTCTTTTGAAAAACCCATTTTCAAGATTTGATCCAATCCCTTATCCAAAATCCTAGTAGATTACTTTTGAAAAAACTGGCCCTGGAGATCTACCTTCCGCCACAGTTCAGCTCCAACCCTGATCAAACACACCTGAACCAATTAATCAGGACCTGAACAGCACTTGATAATTAGAGGCAGGTGTGTTTGATATGGGTTGCAACTGAAATCTGCAGGACAGTAGATCTCCAGAAACAGGGTTGGTCACCCCTGATCTAACACATCTAAACAGACTGCATAATAATGTTCACTGTGTGAAGCAGAAGCGTCAATGCTCTGTTTTTAATTCGTCCCTCGCTGATCGCTCTGCGCCGCTGATCTATATATAATGACAATGTTCTATATTATATGTCAGTGGTCTGCGCAGCGGCTTCAATTCAGCACATCTAAAATGTCAGAAGTGACTAGGCTGAAAGCAGCAATGTGGAAAGTTTAATGTTGAAGAAATAATTGTTCTTCTAATAAATCAGTGAATATATGTAGTTTATGTTTGATATTTGGTTTGTTCCCTCCAAACATATATTAATGTGTATAATGCCTTCAACCATCTGTTTTTAACATGGAGTAACACTTGGGTTTTTATTTACTCTTTATAAGCTGAAATGGATCATTTGCTCAATTCTTCAGTAAAATTATTAAAGGGTCACGAAACCGCTCTGTCTCAGCAGGGTGTTTTCACGCCTCTAGTTTGGACTTGCTTATAATCAATCATCAGCTAAATGTGAACTCTTGAAATGGCCATTCATGAGATGGACGTCATGTTGACATGTTACAGTAAATCTCCCTTTTTTTTTTAATTGTTTGTCTGTTCTGTTTTCCTCAGGTGTTTGGTGGTTTCCTGGTCAACCTGAATTCAATGCTGAGTGGGCTCTCATGGCTAAAGTGGGCCAGTATATTTCGATATGGCTACAATGTAAGATTTCTTTTTTTAAATCTCTTAAACTTGGGAGCTGTTATGGCTGTTTTTACAAGCTTACGGCAAGAAAACTCTAATGACAGACGGCTGCTTCTTACTAAGGGCTGTCTTTGCTAGTGGGCGGGGCTTTCCCCCTCTGATGACACGTACAAAGGGAGAATATCAATCTTAGTGTTTCTACAGACTGTTTTATTAAGTGCGCTTTATAAAAAAAAAAAAAAATACATTTTTACTATTATAGGATGGCCGTATATGGAGCCAGATCAGTCTCGAATTAAACATTTGCAAAAGTAAAACTCCTACATGCACAACACAATTCACATTTACTTCAAATCAAATATTAATTTTTATTCATTATCTTTTAAATAAATCAGTTAATTATCTTCTAAAATTCTAAAAAATAATTCATAAATACACAAATTCAGTTTGTAAATTCAAAACAAAATTGATGAATTCTTAAGTAAAAATCATAAATATGGATTTATTATTTATTATTTGTGTTTTGAATGTACAAATTGGATTTGCGTATTTACGAATTTAATATAAGTATTCGGAAATTGTGTTTTTAATTTACAAATTGTGTTTTAATTTACGAATTAGATTTGCATATTCACGAATTGTGTTTAGAATTTATTAATTGTGTTGTTTACTTATTGTGTTTTGAATTTACGAATTGAATTTGCGTATTTATGAATTTGATTTGCATACTTAAAAATTGGATTTGCATATTTACGAATTTTGTTTTGAATTTACGAATTCGATTTGCATACAAATAAAATTTGCGTATTTATGAAGTGTGTTTAGAATATATTAATTGTATTATACATTCACAAATTGTGTTTTGAATTTACAAATTATGTTTTGAATTTACAAATTAAATTTGTGTATTTATGAATTGGATTTGCCCATTTACAAATTGTGTTTTGTATATTTACCAATTGTGTTTGGAATTTACAAATGTGATTTGCATATTTACAAATTGTATTTTTAATTTACAGATTGGATTTGGGTATTCGTGAATTGGATTTGCAAAAATAAATATTGGATGTGCGTATTTATGAATTTTGTTTTGAATTTACAAATTATATAATTTAATTTACAAATTAAATTTGTGCAATGACAAATAGTGTTTTGAATTTTTGATTTGGTTTTTGTGTAGTTACAAATTGGATTTGGGTATTCACAAATTAGATTTGCATATTTACAAATTGGATTTGTGTATTTACAAATTTTGTTTTGAATTTACAAACTGGATTTGAGCATTCACAAATTAAATTTGAATATCTACAAATTGGATTTGCGCATTTACAAACTGTGTTTAGAATTTACAAACTGGATTTGCGAATTTATGAATTGTTTTGAATTTACAAATTGAATGTTGTAAAAGTGAATTGCGTATGAATTTCAGTTTGTAAATGTATTATTTTTGAGACTAATCTGGCTCCATAGCTGTATTCACACACCGTTGCCAAACAAGTGTGTTTAAACCCTTATAAAAGGGATTTTTGCATAACACAGCCCCTTTAAAATCGGTCAATATTTGCTTTCTCACAGCAACCAAAACTGTACCTCTCTCTTTATTCAGGCACTTGCCATCAATGAACTAAAAGATCAAGTCTTCACTGATAACCTTACCAGGTAAGACTGACTCCAGCTCAGTGGCGCCACCTACTGCACAAACTAAAATGTAAAATAAATAAATAAATAAAGAGAGCCGTTAGCCGCAAGAGGTCAGCGGGTTTTAATTTACGCTTTTCTCCTTTAGGGTGACCGGCGACATGTATCTGGACCATCAAGAGATAGATCGCAGCGCATGGGGCTTCTGGGAGAATCAGGTGGCTCTGGCTGGCATCATGTTTGTGTGTCTGATTCTGGCGTATGTGCAGTTGTGTCGCATCAATCGCTGGAAGTGAGCGAGGACAGCCGTTGCGCGTTAAATGTGAAATTCTTAAACCAAAATAAGTCTATTACCTCTCAAGCTACCTGTGACATGAAGTATATACCACTGTTTGAAGCTTTTGTGAACATTTCATTTTTATACAGACATTGTAAACGGAATATGTTGAGCTTAAAATATACCAAGATTTTATACCTTGAATGTGCTTTTATTTGAGAAATATTAACGTGTATGGAGAGCAGTGGGATGTTAAGAATGACGGAGAGCTATTGGCTTTATTGTAGAGGTTTTATCAGATTTCCCTTGGAGAAAAAAGAATGACATGTTTATTCAGATTGAGACAAAACAAGGTTGTGGAAAGTGCAGTGATTCCAAACCATGTTCCTGGAGCTTCACTGGTACAACGACATACTTCATTAGCAGATTGAGAGAGATGTTTCCTACTTGATGGAGCCACCTTTCCACTGCACACGGCAAGCGACAGACCGGAAGTCTTTCATTTCCAACGGTGAGTAGTCCAGGAGCTGCGAGGAGTTTTTTTTTTATTTGAACAAATCACCTTAGTCATGTGACCTGGGTTTTTTCAGATCAGTCATGTGACCTGGGTTTTTTTCAGATCAGTCACGTGACCTGGGTGTTTTGGATCAACATAGTCAGAGGACTTGGGTGTTTCCGATCACCTTAATCACATAACCCTGGTGTTTCCAAATCACCATAGGCAGGTGACCCGGGTGTTTCGGGTCACCATAGTCAGAGGACTTGGGTGTTTCCCATCAACTTAATCATGTAACCCTGGTGTTTCCGAATCACCATTGGCAGGTGACCCATGTGTTTCGAATCAGCATTGGCACGTGATCCGGGTATTTCGGATAACCTTAGTCACGTGACCCGGGTATTTCGAAACACCCGGGCTTCGGAAACACCCAAGTCCTCTGACTATGGTGATCCGAAACACCCAGGTCACGTGTCAGAGGGCTTGGGTGTTTCCCATCACCTTAATCACACAACCTTGGTGTTTCCGAATCACCATAAATGTGACCCATGTGTTTCGAATCAGCATCGGCACATGATCCGGGTGTTTTAGATAACCTTAGTCACGTGACTCGGGTGTTTCGAATCACAGTCACATGACCCAGGTGTTTCGAATCACCATAGGCACATGACCCAGGTGTTTCGGATAACCTTAGTCACGTGACCCGGGTGTCTCGTATCAAAAAGTCACGTGACCGAGGTGTTTCGAAATCACAGTCACATGACCCAGAAGTTTCTAGTCACCTTAGATCACCCATATCCGTCTATATCAGGGGTCACCAAACTTGTTCCTGGAGGGCCGGTGTCCTGCACATTTTAGCTCCAACCCTAATCAAACACACCCGAACAAGCTAATCAAAGGTTTTACTAGGTATACTTGAAACATCCAGGCAGGTGTGTTGAGGCAAGTTGGAGCTAAACCCTGCAGGGACACCGGACCTCCAGGACCGAGATTGGTGACCCCTGGTCTGTATGAATCTACTTATCTCTCTCTATCCTTCCATCTAGATCCACCTATATATATCACTATCTATTCCTCCATCCACATCTATCTCCATCGATCTATATTTATCCATCACTCTCTCCATCAATCCATAACCATATCCATCCATCTTTATATATACCCATCCATCCATATCTATATCATCCATCTATCCATATCCAAACACATCTCCATCTATCTAGATCTGTTCCTCTATCCATATCAATCCATCAGAGAGAGTAAAGCTGCGGTCACACTAGAGTTTGTGCGTTTGAAATTCTGTCATGCAGCGCTGTGAAAAAGGACAAGATTAAAGTGGATTAAACATTTTTTAAAAAAAATCAAACCTTTGATCCATATTTGAACTTTCTGTCCAGAGAGGTCATGTTTTGATCCTCAATACATCTCATGCAGTCAAGTGATGCGATTACGCAGGTCAGAGTTCACCAAGCTTGAACTTTGCACCGTAGTAAACTGCAAAACTTGACACACGAACTTGCGTTTCTGGTCTGACGCATTCACGTGCGTATGAATGGCAGTCTATGGGGAGAAAAGTGCAGTGTGACCACAGCTTGAGACTAAGTTGCATTGAACAAAGTAAATTAGTTTTCACAATAGAAACATTTAAATGAGATTAGGAATTAATATTTGATGTAGCTCGCCAATAACTGATCCTAATTAAATAAAGTTCCAAACCTTTGTGTTTCTTTGGTTGAGCAAGATATTTTTAAGAAAGCTGAAAACCTGTAACCATTGACCTGCATCCATTTTACCTACTATGCAAGTCAATGGTTACCGCTTTTCAGAAAATATTGCCTTCAACAGAACTCAAAGTTTGGACCCACTTGAGGGAGTGCATTTAGGCGAAATATCGCTTTAAGACAGTATTTATTGCATAAATGAAAGACAGAATAACGAAACGGGGTTTAAGTCGGTTTAATTTGTAATTTTTTTTAAAAACAGCCTCAGTCTGAACAGTGGAAAGAAAATCTGACATTTAGGAAGTGAGAGCGATCAAATCACTGAGGGGCAACAATCAGTGGATCAAATAATGAACGTCAGCATCACCTTCCCCTCCTCCAAATCATTAAAGAAGCACAATGACAGAATCGACAACCATTAGGACCAAAAACATCACCCATTAAAAACAGAAATGTTTACATCACTGGCCTTGCAGGTGTATTAGCAGTTAAAGAGGGAGGCAGGGAGATTACAGCATCCTAAAGCATCGTTCCAAGGGGGGGGTCTCAGACCTCCTTTCCAGTTAAAGGCACAATCTATGTCCATATAAACTCTCTCGGGTGCATATTTGAAGAAACATACGACTAACATCAACTCTAAAAATTAAAATTAAAAAAAAGTCTTCACATTAGCACACACAAAACTAAACAAAAAGCTCAGTGCAAGTATTTCACAAATAGCTACACCTGCCAGTCGTACCCTGCCCCCCTCATAAGTGTGTGCGCACGCATCCTCTCAGTAAAAGCTTTCTTCCCCCTGAACAAAGGTTAAATTAGCGGTGACCATTCAAATGATTAAAGTCACTTTTTTAAAAAGAAAACCCAAGTATTGATTTTGAAACAGAAACGCAGCTCTACAGCAATTCTCCTTTAGTTTCCTAAGATTGTTCTGGAAGTATTCTGCTCGCGCTTTAGCTCCAAACGTGACGCCTGCAGTGGTTCAGGGCCTATAACACACAGACCAGCATGTTATCGATTAAAACCCAAAACAGAAACGTGATTATATTCTGAAATGGCAGAAGGTTAATACTCACGTTACAGCGAGCGGCGGTCTGCACGTTCTTACACCAGTATGCAGGCCCCCAGCTGCACTGATTTAATCCCAGCAGCCTCTGCACGGCCTCAGGACATGCTCCCAGCTTCTGTAGGCCAAAAAGCAAAACAAGACTCAGACTGAGCTCGGCCTGATCACAAGACTGGAGAATTGAAAGTGAAATCTTACCATGCAGACAAAGTCAGGGTCGAGGGTCTGAAGCAGCAGCTGCACCAGCAGAGGCTCGTACTGCTCAATCAGCTGGTTGCACTGCAGGAGGGAAAAATAAATAATCAGCCAATCACAAAGCAGTTACGCACATTCAGACCCGCAGCTGAAGGTTTAGATTCATTTATTGACCAGACAAACTAAGAAGAGGTCTGATCATCATGTTAAAGCAACCAGTAACAATTTGCTTTATTAAGATTAATGTTTAAAATTGCAATAGTATGCACTGATACAACGTTTAATTGTTCTTTGGGATCTTAATAGATTGTATGTGGCTTTGGTGCCACCACAAAAAATAAATAAATAAAATTAGGGGGGGGGGCATCTACGGGGTAGACAAAATTGTAGAACTTCAAATTCACTGAAATATGCTGTTGTGTGTCAAATCATTTTCCTTTTTAGTTAAAGCTACCCAATCAGGTCAACATCCATCCATTTGCCAATAATCCATTTAATTTTTTTTTTTTAGTTTTTTTTTTCATTTATTTTGATTATTTTTCATTATTTATTATTATTTATTTATTATTATTATTATTATTATTATTATTATTATTATATCTTTTAATTTATTTATTTTTATTATTATTTTTTTTATTATTGTTGTTATATATTTTTAATTCATTTATTTTTATTATTTATAATTTTATTTTTATTATTATTATAATTATTATTATTATTATTATTATTATTATTATTATTATATCTTTAATTCATTTATTTTTATTTTTATTTTATTTATTATTATATCTTTTAAATTTATTTATTTTTATTCTTTTTTATATCATTTGTTATCATTATAATATTTTAAATTCATTTATTTTTATAATTTTTTTATATTAATTATTATTTTTTATTATTATTATTATTATTATTATTATTATATCAACTATTTATCAATATGGTAAAATTGTCTTCCTTAAAATGACACTTGTTTAAAAGTTCTCCATGTATTTATAGCTACATTATAGCTATATTTGTGACACATATGAGCTTTACATGCATTTAGTTTATATAATGGTTTAAGAAACTTTAAACCAAAGCAGTTTCTTTCTTTTTTTTAAATTGACAAACATACAGGGCTAAATGTTCATTTTTTTCTAATATCATAAGACTGAAATTTTATTTATAATGAAACCTGCCGAAACACTAAGGCCCCGTTTACACTGCCAGTTAAAAGTGACCCAATTCTAATTTTTTTGCTCATATGTGACAGATCGCAGTCACATGTAAACGGGCAGATCCAATTTATTGAGGCACAACGCCGTGGTCAACAACAACAGAAGAAACATGGAGGAAAGTGGTCAATAGTTAACAACAGAAGTTACCTTGTTGCCCTGTGGGGAGATGCGCCTATGCTTTATATAGACTCAAGTGAGCTGAGCGACATGACACAACGCATAAAGCTTCTATTCAGCCATTTGCATAGGTTTGTTGCTTCTTTACAAATATGTGGTCAATTTCACAATATCCACGTTAAACCAACATAACACATCTCGTGTCTTTAAGGGTGGCAGCCCCTCTAATATATTTTTTTGTATTGCATTTTAAGGGCATGACTAGTCTGTCTTCATAATAACAGATTTGTGATTTCTGTTGATAATGTATGCTGGTCTGAGTCGTCTATCCATTTACAGCAAGCATAACACAAAAGGTTGGACTTGCCTCATCTTTGACGGCGTCAGGCAGGAAGCTGCAGACTTTCAGCACGGCCTCCTCGATCTCAGACTGAGTGGCGTTCTGCTCCAGGATCCCGTCCACATAGCGCACAGCCATCTTGCACACATCACAGAAACCACCTGCTGCGAAATGCTGCTTATCCATTACAGCTGCATGATGGGAAAAATAGTAGTAGAAAAAAAATAAAATGAACATCTTTTGCATCAGAACAGAGCAAGAAGAGGAACAAACATGGGCACTTACGGACATGGCTGACCCCACTGCAGAGTGCAAGGAAAGAGCAGACCGTTTTGGGATCGGCCTCCTGCACAAGGAGATCGATGATGGCCTGGCCGTAGGTTTCAATCAGGTCCTTGCACTGAGCCGTGAGTGTGGAGGGCAAAATGTTGCAGACCTTCTCCACAGCCTGCACGATCTCTGCCTGAAATAGAAAACTAAAGTCAGCAGATCTACAGCAGGTCAAGATTAACCGTTTAAAGGGGGCGGTTCATCTAAATACTGCCACAGGTGTCAATCACTGATCTATAATCGAGAACTGGACTGCTCATGACATCATAAAGCGAAGCCACCGCGCCACCATATTAATAAGCCCTACCATGCACAGTTCCACGAAATTACAAGGAAATGTTGTCATCTTAATGAGAAAACGTCACCTAACAAGACACTCACTTTGATTTTAAACCTCAGTGTGTGCTGTTCGGTCTATGCAAATATTTGGGATCTTGCAGCGTTAATGCCATCAATAAAGAAGCTTAGGGGTCTATTGTAACAATCTGGGCTCAACAATAGCAAAAGTGTATTGGGACTTGGCCTTAATGCTTTTGCACCATGCACTTTAGACTTTAAGGATGGAAAAATATGGTTTGTGCATATTCTCCTAATGAGTTCTGGGTGTGTTTTGCACATAACGTGCATTAAACCAATCAGAGTCTAATCTCACATCCCCTTTAAGAGTCAGTTGCGTCACAGCATGGCATATTTGCCATTTATGGCAGACTTTGTAAAAAAAAATAATAATAATAATAATAATATTAATAAAATGTAACACTTCATTAGCAAGAAAACAGACCATCTGTAGCGCAAGATAGATAGGATAAAGAACGAGCCTCTTCCATTTAGCTTTACTTTCGCTTTACCCCTTTGAGTTTCCACAGTTTCCTTACTCCAAAGCGCTCCACTGAAGACATCCACTGGCCTAAATATTTCACTTTTGCAACATTTTAATCCTTTGTTTTTATATGTAAAGATTTGTGTATTGCTGTACATCCTGTGTGTATTAGCAATGTGTAGGCATTTGAACCCACATAACTAACGCGCTCTGCCATTGACCATCTGAAAGCTGGTCTAAAGTCCACAGTCTATTTCAGTTTGTCAAAGTAGCAACATCCCAACAATACACCTCAACACACCTTATAGATCGGTGTCCGGACATTTTATCCTACCCATCAGATTATGCTACCAACACTGTATATAAATGTTTCTGAGGTTGGGGTTAGAGATCAAGTAGGCTAGGCCGATATTACTGCTTTATATCACACTACTCCATATTAAAATTTTCATTGGTAGCAAAATCTGATGGGTAGCATAGAGTCATCAAAATGTGCTAATTACTTTTTAAAATGGGAGGTAAGACAACTCAGAACACTGGCACACCTACGAGTTCACAGTGACGCAAATGGATTTGCTATCTAAACAATGTGGCGCAAAACCTGAAAATTAAACATGTCCCCGTATGAAAACAACAACAACAACAACAACAACAACAACAACAACAACAAATCATGCCATACATGTTCACCGGGTGCATGATAGGGCCCTTGGTATTGAAGAGTATCTAGCAGAACTAAAACATGTTCTCGGTTCACAGCAGGTGGCAGTAGCCGATTATTTTATTTTTAAAGGCCCCTTTAAACAAAGCAGTTGTTATCAGAAATAAATATCATTCAAGAGTTCACACTTAGCTGATAATCAATAAAGCGTATTTGGCATGCTGTCCCGGGAGAGAGCCCTGAGCTCGTAATATCCTCAAGCCCGGGGCTCCCACCTGTTAGAAGGGCGAGAGGGGAATTCGAGGTCAAGTAAGTCTCGAGAACTCCCCTGCTTGTCACCGTGAGAAATGTAAACTAAGGTTGTATTGGGTGATATTTTAGTCGATTGGCTATGGTTTATGTTTTTTGGACGGTGGGAGGAAACTGGGGAAAACCCACGCGAACACGGGGAGAACATGCAAACTCCACACAGAAACACCAACCGGCCCGATGGGTTGGACCGGCGGTGTTCTTGCTGTGAGGCAACAGTGCTAGCCACTGGGCCACTGTGTCACCCAATCAGAAAAAAGTGGGAGGATGTAGAGGTGGAAAGGGGGGAGCTTCAAGACGAAGATAACTGGAGTGAAAAACTCAGGTTATTAATAATGCTTCCATAATCATCTAATAGGGCTGATTACGGAGCTAACAAGGAGCCAGCCGTGTTGATTATAAGCACGTGATCCTCTCGAAATTAGTTTATGAAAACCGCACTTATCATCATCATCATTGGAAGACAGCCATTACGGTATCTTATTCAGACACTGATCATCCACTTATAAAATATCAATAGTTTTCTTTAGGAAATGTACATCAATGTGTAAAAGCACAATGAGCAATCTAGATTCTACATAGATTATTGGTGTCACTCCAACACCACTAGGGAATTATTCATATTCAAAACACGTAAA